GGACTAAATTGTTCAAAATAAAAAGGATTTAAGCCCATAAGCATAACAAAAACTGCATCAGTTAGTTAACAAAACATACCATCTACAACACAGTGACAGCAAAGGTTCATAATCTTACAATCTGTGGTAAAACCAGGCTCACATGGGTGTGTTGGTTTGGCAGAGGACGCTCAGGTCCTGCTGACTCTCTGCAGCAGCGACATCACAATCAGCCGAGGGTCCGCAGGCAGCAGGAGGCGACTGTTCGCTGTAGAAACCTCCATCGAATGCGTTTGATTCATCCACCGGCGTCTCCTCCTTCACCTCCTGAGGAGCTGCAGAGAGCGAGGAGCTCTGTGGAGCTGCAGCAGAGGCACAAATGTAAACTTTAAAACATTTTTCAAACATGAACCTTTAAACTCCATCACAGGCTGCGTGGACACGTCTGCCAAAGAAACAAGCAAGTCTCCACACAGAGTTTTTATGATACAGATTAATGCTGCTCTGACCTTCATATGTGCTTGAAGGAGCCTCAGTGGAGGGTCTGTTGTTTAGACAGACATCATTTCTGTCTGATTCAAGACCTACAAGTTGAAAACACAGGAACCAAAAGTGTGAGAGGCCAAAACAAACGCAGGAGAATCAGAGTGAAAGCCAGAGCGAGTAAACTCACTTCTCATGGCTGTACATCCATCCTCCTGCTCTGTGCTTTCCTGCTGTGTGATTATTTCTTCAGCTTCGACCATCTGAAGCTCAGGCTCACCTCCTTTAGTCTGTGCAGCCACAGAAACAGATCTGTGAGGATCAAATGAGCTCCTCTGCAGGTATAAACATTCGAAAGACAAAAACGCAGGTCACCTTCTGTCTCCACTGAGGCTGATTCAGGTTCTTTGTAGGAGACGAGACTTCTTGTGCCTCGAAGGACAAGTTGGTCTGAGGATGAAGGGAAAACAAAAAGCATGGATAGGAAGGTAACAGCTGAGTTTTGTGCTGTAGGAAAGTGGGAGTGGACTCCTTTAGAGATGAACACGAACAGCATGAAGCATCAAACCAGCATGTAAAGTACAAGATGTAGATTTTACATGGATGGAAACATATTAACATTCTGTCTTCCTGCTCTGCATTGACCATTATAGTGTTTGCAAAAGGAAGATTGCAAAATGCACTTTTTTCTCTTCTGCAACAGAACCTGATGAGAAACTTGTAAAAAAAACAATAACTTTAAATCATGCACTAGCTTTTGCACCTAGTTTGTCTCATATTGTTGCAGGTTTTCAAAATTACAAACGTCTGGGAACAGCAAGGGGACTAAGAGAGTGTGAGCACAGGATTAAATGGAAAGTGTGAAACTAGAGCTGCGATGTGTCACTTTGAAACAAGAAACCAGTCTGCAGGTGACGAGCTGCTCGTTATCGTGAGCGAAACTTCACACATCAGCTGTAAAACCAAAAAGAAAAAAAAAAATAAAAGAAAAATCACATCCATCTGAATCTGTGCGATGAAGGAAACGTTCCACTGCATACAAAACACTCCAAATCCAAAAAAAAAAAAAAAAAAAGAAGCAGCGAATTAATCTGTCATGCAGCCGGCTCGCACAATTACCTGATTGAAACACATGATATATTGGGGCGTATTGTTAGAATAGACAGAGGCAAAGACTGGCTCCTGGAGGGGGAAGAGAGAGGGGCAGGCTAAAGCTATTTTAAAGCTATTTGAAAAGCTGTGTATTCATAATGGAGATGAAGGAGGATTATTAAACTTGAAATCATCCCTCTAAGACTTACCCAGCACTCGAGATGAGAGTTTTCTGATTCTCCCTGCAGAGGGAAAACAAACAGAGAGAAATAAAACCTGAGACAGGAACAAACAGGGAAAATATTAAAATTCACACGTATACAGTTACGGCGGTGAAGACGAGCTCCTGAAGGATCACATTTAACCACCGAATAATCAGTCTATTTACATTCCACATCACGTTTTAGAGATCTCCACTACATAAACACTAATTAGTCTGCATGTATTCCTCAGTAACTTAAGCTTCATCTCAGGACATCTAGCACATTCCAAATCCAGAGTGCTGCTGCGAAGTGATGCTATATCTGGTTTCAATGGTATGACAAATACTCCAATCTAACCACCAGCCGATTTAAGGCCGGCTGCAACAGTGAACCCAGCAACCTTGGAAATGCCAAACAGAATTTTTTCACTGCCGTCATTCTGCTTTTCCAGAGAAATTAGATCAAAACTCTGAAAAATTTGTCATGTTCTGTGATATCACTCCACTGTTTCAAGAACATTTGAGAGTTAAGTGTGGTTTTCTTGATATTGGTGATATGATTTGACTTAAAGAAAAGAAAGACAGATTCATTTAATATTAACTTGATGCAGAAATTGTCCATTTTTTTCTGTATTCTAGGCTGAGCAGTCGCTGTTTCAGGTTCACTTTTTAATTTAATCATTCAGGCTACTGTGACGGCACCAAATCACATGTAACTGGTTCTTCTTTTAATAATGACACGACACGACTTAAGCCTGCACTTCATACAATCAGCAAAAAGGCAGATTTGGGGTTTGATTATCAAATATAAGCCTTAAATTGTCCCATTGGCTGAAATATTAGAGTCAGATTTTTCTATTTGGAAAGAAATAAGCCAAGTAAATAAACAACTGGGGAATTCAAAACACACTTATATACACAAGCTAGTGTTGTGTCAAAACTGCTCTGAGCTCTGAACAGTTTCTTCTGTCACATTTTTCCTCACTGTGGACTCAAAGTCTGCACCTCTATGGAAACAGCACAACCATAGCTAGAAGTACAGAGAAGTCAAAAATGTCTCCAATACATTACGACACTGTTACAATGCCATAAATCAAAAAATAAAATTAAATGACCAGAAAGTACATTAAATCTAAAGAAAAAGTTACATTTCTTTCATCATATATTTTACAAAAATTGAAAGAAAGTGTCCACAGGTGTTACCAGTACTGGGAAAAAAAATCGTGGCTCGATATACTATAGATATTTTACTACTAACATATTTAATTTGCTTGTATACCTGTCTCCTGTCTGCTCAGTGTGAACACAGCCTGCAGCTCAGCTAAAAAGTCCCTGAATTTTTGTCACACATCTGGTGGTCGCTTCACATTTGTGCAGATTTTTTTTTTGTCTTATAATCTGGTGCAAATGGTTTATTTTTGATCATCAAGACATGTAGCATTATCGCAATTTTAAGCTTAGGTTTGGTTAAGTTTTCTAATAGAAACACACATCACAGACGATTAGAGGAACCTTTCATGCTTTTTAATTTGGTACAGAGTTGTAGGGCTCAGAAGGTTAAAGATGTGAGTGAGAACAATCTCCTGATTTGACAAACTGTACCTCTCCTGTGTAGAAAAACATCCATCCACAGGTTAGTCAGTCAGGACTGATTGCAGTGTGGATGAGATTTTTAAGAGCCAACACCACCACCATTGTTCAGTACTCATAATAAACAGATGTAGTGTTGTTTTTCCTCAATTTTGTTTGTCTGGTAAAGTTGCAGTTGAAAAAATGTATAACAGGTTGAGTAACATCAGATTCCAATGATTTATTGTTACAAGCCTGTTGTCCACATTTTTATTTTTGAATATTGTGTGTAAAGATTTCTGTTTTTGCTGGAATTGTTCAAACCTCACTCTGGCCTGGTGATGGAGACAGAGACATTTCCACATCCTTCCAGGCGTGTGTTACCCAAAGAACCATGTTAACCTTTCTGTTGTAAAGCTGTTACTGACTGAATTTGGGTGTCTTTTCAAGTAGAAATAACCCCCCCAAAAAAACCTGGAGCTACAGAGGCTGACCTCTGGTGAAGCAGTTGCAGATTCTGACATAACAAACCTTTACAGGAGCGGTATCTCTGTTTCTTACCTTACTTCTGCTTCTTGACTCCTGCAGTTTAGGCGCGCAATCGACTGCAGTGACCTGGACGTGTCCTTTAGCTGTGGGTTCTTCAGCCGAGTTCTTTACACTCTCTGGCTCTTCGTCTTGCCTTTTGGGCAGATTACACAGAAAATGAACCATAAAACGTTTCAAAAAAACTACAAAAAAGAAAAAAACAAACTGTATGCCTGCTCAGTTTTCATCCTAAAACTGCTGATTTTTGATTAGTAACAAAAAATATCCAGATTGTCATCATTTGACCACATCATGCAAACTGTACATTACTTACTGGACTCTCCCAGTCATTTCTAAGCTGCTTTCCACAGAGGAGATGTTCTGTTCATGCAGTTTGCTCTGGCAGGGACTGTCCTCCTGAGGAGCGTCCGATTCCGACAGGGTTCTTATCGGCGTACAGGCGATAGTTTCCCTCCTGTTTCGAGCCCTCTGCCTCCAGGGAGCAGCGGTCAGTGAGCCTCCCTCCCCAGCCGAGGCTTCACGTCTCTGCCTCCGTGGTGCTGCACAAATCTCCTGCCTCTCAGTTCCCTCCGTCCTCTGGTGTGTTTCTTCTCCGCAGCCTCCACCGTTCTGTTCGACCTGACCGCCGTCCGTCCGGCTCCAGTCCGAGGCTGCAGAGCGGCTCTTCTTCAGGATTCCCTTCAGGCTGGGCTCAGAGTCACAGCGCTGCGGGGCCTGCTGGGGCGGACCGGGCTCTCCGGGGTCGAGGCCGGAGCCGGGGTCCAGTCTTGGCTGTGAAAGACGAAGCTCACTGGGTTTCAGGTTGACAGACAAAGCCTGCTGTCTGTCGGACAGATGAGGGGTCAAACTGAAGGCAGGGAGCTGAACGGGGCCTTTCTGGAGCTAAAACGAGATAAGAAGGTTCAAAAGGTTTATTACTTCAAATGTACTTCAAGCAAAACATTTTCTCTGATTAACTTAAGCTTTAGAGGTAAACTTGACAACTTTTACTTTCCTTTTCCTGCTTTGTAGAACTATAAACAGAAAATACAGGTGCCAACTCAAACCAGAAATGGGTCTTTGTCTTTATGCCGCAGAGGAACTAGTTTTAGTTCCACATGTAACCGTTTAGCTCTTCAAACAACCTCTAAAGGTGTCTCGAAGAACCATCGAAATATGGTTCCTTTAGGCACAAAGAAGAAGCTTTACCTGACTGTAATACATAATAACACTGATATAACTTTACAGTGTTATTATTTATGGAGCTTAACTCATTTAGAGATAAAGTTTTGACCATCCAAAAATATACATGAAAACCCAACGACTCCTCTGAGCAATCACTTCTTGGTTCTGTTTTGACAACAGGACTTCATAATCGTTCAAGTAAATTTAAAGCAAAAAAGTCAAATATCTAATATGTTTATAACTTTAGATTGTTGGTAAGATAGAACAACTCAGTACAAGATGCAGGCTTGGGAAACTGTAATGGATATTTTCTGCTGTTTTGTCAACTACAACATTACAGAAAACAATCATTAGTGGCAGCTCTACATTTATGCTATTAGCTGCCACCAAACCATCCATCCATTATCTATACACCGCTTAATCCTCACTAGGGTCATGGGGGGCTGGAGTCTATCCCAGCTGACTCAGGGTGAAGGCAGGGGACACCCTGGACAGGTCACCAGTCTATCACAGGGCTACACTTAGAGACAGACAACCAAGCACACTCACATTCACACCTACGGACAATTTAGAATCACCAATTAACCTCAACATGTTTTTGGACTGTGGGAGGAAGCTGGAGAACCCGGAGAGAACCCACGCTGCACGGGGAGAACATGCAAACTCCTCACAGAAAGATCCCAGTATCCTCATTGGGTCACGAACCAGCGACCTTCTTGCTGCGAGGTGACCGTGCTAACCACCGTGCTAACCACCGAGCCACCTTGCAGCCCGTCACCAAACCAAATAACTCTAACTAAAACAACGAACCTTTATTACCGTAAAGAACTACATAAAGTACATGAAATAAAGAGGTTTTTCAATTGGTGATGGCGTTCTTAGAGACCACAGAGGCTTTTGAAGAACCATTATTTTTTCAGAGAACACACTCAAGAAACTTTGGGCTCTGGACTGTTGGTCAGACGACAAGATGCTGACTTTAGGAAAATGCAGTGGATATTTCTGTGTTGTCGGATGTTTTACAGACCAAATGATTAGTCAATAATGAATATAACTGTTAATTGCAGCTCTAATTTTGTGCTATCACCTAAACCAAATATTTCCAATAAAAATAAAGCACCATTAGTCCTTTAAACAACCACAAAAGTGTGTGAAGAACCATCCCCTAACAAAGAGGTTCCTCAACTGGGGATGGCTCTTTAAACAACCACAGAGTCTTCAGAAGAGCCATGCAAGGATCCTTGTTATTTAGTTCTCACCAGGCTGACCTCCTCCACAGTGATGGGCTGCGTTCGGTACCGAGCCCCCTTCTGCCTCCGTCTCTCCGGGGGTCCGTCCGGGGCTGCTTGCCTCCCAGGCAGGGACAGTTTGTTGAAGAGGGCCAGCTTCTCGCTCATGCTCAGCTTGCAGCTCTCATCATCATCTTCCACCGACTCGTTCTGCACAGACTCGACCTCAGCTGGAGGAGCCGGTTTGGGAGCGCTGCACCGAAACACAACGTAAAACGGTGAAAAGAGACTTGAGTGCACTCAGAACCTGAATTATTTTATTCCTCTGTGTCACAGATCTCCACTGTCATCCAGAAGCTATTAAGAACACATCAGCGGGCCTCATCGCGGGGTTGCATGTTTCTTCGTTACCATGAACACACACATACTGTAGTTTATTTTTAGTCAATCTGACCGACACCGTCCTGCTGCTACAAATACTCACAGCAGCACCAAATGTGCATCTGAAAATAGTCCTGACTAAAAGCACTATTTAATTCTGTTTCACTAACGTTTATCTAAAAGCTACTGACACAGAAGTTTAGTTTCTAACCTTTAATCCTTTAAAAATATCTGCTCTTGACCTATTGTCATTTGTGACTTATAGCAGTTGATTTCACCTAATGTGGGGTTTTGTCACTTTCACAGGTTACTTTGTTTGAATGCTTTTAACATTGTACCTCACAAGGAAAAACTTAAAGACAGAAAAATTTAATTTGTGAAGGAGATGTACATTTTTCTTCTCGATTAACGTGTTAAGTCTCTGAACTGCAGGTTTAAAAGGCATGTTGTTGTTTTTTTAATGCTCTAAAAAAATTGAAAAAATTGTCCGACTTCTAATTTTTACAATAGTTTGTGAACTAATGCTGTGTGTCGCACGGTTCTGTTGAAAAAATTAACCAAATTTAAGCTTAAAATCACAATATTTGATCAAAATCACGTCAGTTTACATGTCTGATTCAAAAATTCAACAAAAGTATACAATTTATAGTAGCCTTATTTTGTGAAAAGCAAAAAATTCTGTTCACATTAGTGCAACCAAGAAGTCATTGGAGACTCAACTGCAACCAACAGTCTCATAATAAAACTTCTGCTAATTTTCAGCTGAACCTCAGGCTGCGTTTACACATAACAAAAAGGGACATGTATGAAAACTAACTACAAATAGAAGTCGTTAGAAATCTATAATACTTAGAGTCACATTCTTTCCAGTGTTGGTAACACCTGTCGACACTTAGAATAATGTTGATTCAGCATTGTTTCAATTTTTTACAGTAAATAATGTTTGCTTTTTTAATGTTTTATGGCATTATAACTGTGTCAAATTGCCTAGAAGACATTTTTTTTTAGTTCTCTCTACTTGTAGTCATGGTTGTGTTGCTTCCATAGAGATGCAGGACTTCATATTGCAGTAAAAAATTAACCCATAGTGAGTGAAAATGACAAAATAATGTGACACCTTCTGGGGGTCCTAACCCACAACATATATACTTGAAACGCATTGTGTTAAAAACTCTCTTGCTTTAATTTGCAGCTGAAAATAGCAATACAGCTACATTTTCCTCATTTTAAATCAAGACGTTTGCCTTTTTTCTTTTAATAAAGCATACATTTGAGAGTTGTTTTTAAAGATTTACATCTTAAGAATGAGAGTGAATGTATTAAAGCAAATTAAGAAAAATACTAAAATGCATACAATAAATTGCAAAACAAACTTTTTCTTAAAAATGCAAAAAAAAAAAAGATACGAACAAAACACCGACGAAACAAATGTCCCAAATAGTATCACAAGAATAGAAGTTTATTTTATATGATACATATACTAGTTTACTGTATGTGAAACTATTCTGAATCCAATTCCATCCCTGTGAAACTAATAATAGGCTTCTATTTATGTTCAAAGTGGCTGTAAACTTTCACTTATATACAACAAACTGAAGGCAATGATCTAATTGTATATAATGTGTTTCGTGACTGTTCCTCTCCTCCCACCTGATTGCCACTATTTCCTCGCAGGTGATTGGCTGAGTGAGGAAGCGATGGTCGTTGCCTCGCCGCGTCCTGCGTTCGTGACTGACGCTGCCGGAGCGAGGCTTCAGGAAGGCCGAGGCTTCCGGGGCAGACGACTTCTCCAGCTCCTGCAGAGGAGGCAGAGGAGACGTTAACATGCGAACCGGCAACCCACACCCACAGCCTTCACCTGCTGAATTAGTAATGACATGAAAAATGGCAGCGAAAACTCCCCTCCTGAGGTCTCCTGTTCTATTTGTACGGCCGGATGGAGGCGGGTCGGGTAGCTGGTGAATAAAGCAGTGAACTGTACGGTGGAGCATCTTGGCTTCTCGCTACATGCCAGCCCAACAGGTCACAGTGTAACTGGAGAGCCGCCGGCTTCGGTTTCCTCTCCGCCTGCCTCCACAGAGCAGCAGGCTAATTATAACGCAGCTGCTGCGGTTGTTAACGGCAAAACAGAGCCGGCGACATTTTCACCTGATGCTTCAGGACTGAAACTGTGCAGAAGGTGAAAACCCCCAGTGCAGATCCATCTTCTGTAAAAGACTCAAACAGCTTCTGGACCTTTTCCATTGTGCATCAATCACTCTGTAAATTTAGCCTCTCTTTTAATACGCACCAACAAACACACACTGTTGCATCAAACCTCCAAGGACAGCACCTGTTTGTTCATTTATATTCCCTCAAACATGATCAGGCTCAGTTCTGCAGGCTCAGCGCTGTAAGGTGAGCAGCTGAGGTGAGCTTTCTCTTCAGCCGTTCGATATGTCGCTCAACCAGGCTGCACTGTGAGCGTTTAGCTGTAAACTTCAACACTGCATTTGTCCTCGCTGGTGAAGATGTGACAGAATAAGCAGGTCACGAGCGTCGTGTTTCAGACTTACTTTAAACAAAGACATCTTGGCTGCCACGCTCATTTTGGCTCTGTCGTCTGTTTTCACATCGGCTGTGAGAAAAAAAAGAAATAAAAGGCATAAATCGTCATGTTAGGACGACAAAAACAAGCAACAGTAAGAAGTTTGTGATTAAGCGCACACCTCAGAAAATCAGCAGCAGGAGAGGAAAGTGTTGCTGGTGATAAAACAGGCACTAAAATATCAACGCAGGTGCAACTTCTGGTGATATTTCTCAGCAGAACTGAGCTGGAGTACAATACTTGTTCATTTCTTTTAAAACCAACTTTTTATTTTTTGCTAGTTTCACAGATCTGCACTGCAAAACAAGTTCAACATACCGAGATTAGGTTTTCATTATCTGGCTTTAATAAACCAAACCACATAGTTGATTTTTAATCTGCTCAGTCAACTCAGGGTTTCGGAATCAAGCAAGGTTATTCAATGTATGAAAATATGACTTGTTTTGTATTGCTGTGACATGCAGTTACATATTGTTCAGAAAATGTCACCAGCTAACGTCTGCGTTATCAATTTTTTTGGTAATATGTGCTCAAAGACGGGACTTTTCATGACGGCATCCTTTCTTTTTTTCCATATTTCAACTCACCCATAATCAGAGCATTTGATCTGCTTGTATAATATTGTAGATTCTGAATCAATGACAGGATGAGCAATAACAGTGAACATTTCAGGCTTTTATATGTAATAGCTCCAAAGGTTTTGTGGTTCAAACAGCTTCCAATTTTAACGTGCGACAAAACATGCGGAAAATGTGGGCCAATCAGCAATTTTTTCAACACTGTATCGTGGAAAATATTTGATATATTAGTCTAAAATTTCACAAATATCTTTAGAATCATCCAAAGTTTATGGCATAAACTTTCAGAAATCAGAGATGGTCTAGTAGAAATTCCTTGTTTTGAGATGGAATAACCCAGATATGAGCACTGTTATGTAAGAGGGATGGTGTTGGCACCAGATTGAGAATTACAAACTGACAACAAAAAAAAGAGAAAGACATGAGACAAACCCTAAAATCTTTTCCTTAAGAGACACTCTGTGCACACTGAGCTCCATGGCATCTCCTAGGAATAGTGATTTCATTTTCCATGAGAAGTTTTAGTGCATATTGAGCTGCTATTTCAAACATAATCTGCTCCTGAAAACCCAGAATTAAACCTGAAGTTATCTCGCTAACTCCATATCCTGCTTCGTCAAAGAGACACGTCCACTCCTCTTACATTGTTCCATTTAACTGCTTAAATCCCCAAAAAAGTACAATTTTCTCTTTTTCCTGACCTCATTAATCAAGTCATAACCCCACAGGTTTATCTTTAGACCCTTTGAAAGAGGCTGGCCACATATAGGCTGGAAAACACTTGACTGAAATAAAATTAAATATGTAATAAGATATATACACTTTCTTTGCATTGCTGCTTTCCGTACATTTTGCTAATAAAACTTGTGTGCTTTTGCTTGGAGGATTTTTACTTGCAATGAAATATATTTACATTATTGCACCGCTATTTTTCTTTTAGTAAATGACTCGAGTCCTTCTTCCACCACAAGCAAGGCAGTTTTAAAGAACAATTTCACTGCCATACAGCCTGAAATTCACAGTTGAAATGTCCAAACAGCAATAAAAATCTCCTTGCTCCTGCAGTCGCTTTAACAGTGGTGTAAATTCTCACTAAGTATATCTTTGCAGAGACTTGCTTGTAATCTTTTTACAGCGGGGTCAAGAGTAGGACTGACTTAGCATTGCTCCTCTGCCCGAGACATAAATCTGTCATCGCTGCAGAGATTAAACATTGTGAGCCCTAAAAATACAACCAGGTTTATTTCCTGAGCTATTCAGTGAATTTATGGAGGCAACTGCGCGAGTTGGACTCAAATATTTGTTTCTTCTGTCGCTCTTTAACATCTCAAATAAGATGTGTGATGTAACTTTCCTTGCAGCAAATCATAAATCAGTTTGCGTTTCTGTGTTCAAGTTTAACAAACAGGATGGCAAGAGACTGGAAAGACGAGTCAGCTTTACCTTTACCGTTCTCCTCTTCCTCTGCATCCAGGAGCCTAGAAGAGCCAGAAAAGGGCAAAAGATGAAGCAATCAGGTGAAATATGAACAGGAAGGTGACTCTAATCCTCTGCTCCCGTGTTCCCTTTCGGATCCTGCTTCAAACTTCACAATGCACGTCTTTGTGCTTGTGTTTGCAGCTCAGACAATCAAGATACTGCGTCATATTTGCATGTTCTATGTAGGTCACGATGCTCTCATGCAAACCACATGAGCTGCTGCAGTTGCCACTCCTCAGCTGAAGGTGCTTTTAGGACTGAATATCAAACTATAAGTTTAAGTGTTGTATCATCAGCAAAGTGTGTTGTTTTCCACCAGCTTGTGAGTTTTGTTGTCAGAACCACTGCACACCAAACCAGGCCCCTACCCGCTGCTCTCCTCCATCTCATTGGCCGTGATCGGCTGCGTCCTGAAGCGCTCACCGCTCTTGCGCGAGACACCCGACCCGCCGGGGACGTAGCGCCGGGTGCGTCGCCGGCCGCCCTCGGAGCCCGGCTTCATGGCCAGGTCCAGGGAGGACGTGGGGCAGCTGGTGTCCGCAAAGACAGAGCAGAAGAAAGGGAAGAAGATGCTGAGACGAAGGCAGACATTGTCAGAGAGGTAACACAGTCTGATGGGTTGACAGTCTGGATCACACGCATGCAGGCGACCCTACGCTTTCTCGGGCTGCGCTGCGCTCTCCGTCTGCTGCAGGAGGGCGCTTCTCAACTGGCCCACCGACACCCGAGTGCGGAGCTGCGGGGCGTCCAGTCCGACCATGTGACCCTCCCCACTCAGCATGCTGGCAGAGTCCTGGCAACCCTGCCTGGAGTGAGGGGGGAAGGAGGTGAGGATGCAGGAGTGGGGATCGAAGGGTGAGGAGAAAGGCGCTGATGTACCCTTTCGTGTGTTTTCTGAGGAGAGTGTCTGTTCGGTAATACCAGCACTCAGAGTACCTGAGTGAGAATCAGACTGGCTTTAAAACTCCCTGCTGGGACCCACTGATTTAGACCTCTCAGTTTTAATTAGCAACAAAGGCCACAGAGCAACTGGTCTAGTCAAGGATCTGGTGCTGCTGGAAGGTCGCTGGTTTTTTGGTGGCAGAATCGCCTTCCTGGAGAGTTTCACATTGTCATTTTAAGAGGAGCTTCCTGCTGTTACTTGTAAAAATGTGTATTTATTAGAAGTTTCCAAATACGATTGCATGAGTAATCAACTAATGTCCTTACAAATTGTTATTTTGAATCTAAAATCAAACTCTAAGAATTATGTCAAGCCCATTTGGGACCAGATCTGGTGCAGTACTACATGCACATACATATACACATAACATACAATGTTTGAGGTAATTCTTCAATTGTTAATTTAACCCTTAAAAACTCCTCTGGGCCTGTCAAAGTCACACTTTTATGTGCTGCTGCTGTTTTTCTTCCATAAAATAATCCCTTCCTCAGGTAAAATGGTTTAAATGCACCCTTGCTTCATCCAGAATATGCAGATCTACGTAGTCCCTGCCTCTCTTTCAGCTCACATCTGCTCAAGCACACCAGCTCGCCTACAGCTCTGCTGAAACACTGCAAAACTACTCAAACTCAGCAAGGGCTGTGACTGGCCATTGTTTTTAGTGTTGTTGATGATTTGTTAATTATTCTTGTCGTTGTTTGGTAAATAAAAGGTCAAAAAATGTCAATCAGTGTTTTATAAAGCCAAACATGGCTTAAAGTGTCCACAACCCAAAAAATATTAAGTTTACCTCCACAGAGAAGGAAAGAAAAACAAAATACATCCAAATATAAGAAGCTGGAATCAGAGAGTCTTGACTTTGATTCTTAAAAAACTGCTCAAACCTACTAATCAGTTATCACAACAGTTGATTGTTAATTTAGTACTTGACAGCAAGTCAACTAATCAGCTAATCACTGCAGCTCTAAATGTATCCATACACTAAACAGAAAGCCCCACTCGTAAAGCTGACTGTTGTTTCCTTATGTCTACTATGTGTAAAGCCCCAGAAGCCTGCAATGTAGTTTCAAAGAGGAAATACTGCTTGTTTAGCTCATGACTTGTGTTCCAGGATTTATTTTTTTTAAACACACTATAAACATGCTAACAATGTACAAAAAAAACACAACTTGATGTTCACTAGAGTTAAATAGAAGACAGAAAACTGGCACAACAGAAGCTAATTCTTGAAACTAAGTCAGATAATGAGACGTCATGGCTGGGATGAACAGAAGAACACAAAAGATGCTGTAGTCAACCTACCATGATCCACATGTGTACATCCATTACATAGACACTGTACAGTGTCAACATACACCTCCCGGGTTGAATATTAAAGCTCTGAACCCCAAGCAGGTTCTGGTTTTGGCTCATTTTTTCCCCCAGATTGTTTACTTACTGTGGGTTCATTTTTCACTGTAATATAATGTCCTGCACTTATATGGAAAAGGTACAACCATGAATATAAGTAGACAGTTATCCAGCACAAACGTGATTTCTGAGTTCTGAGTTTTAATGCAATAAATCAGAAAAAAAAGTTTAATTGCTTAGAATATTACATTTACAAAAAAATGAAAAAACCTGTAACCAACATGTACAACATTTTGCCAAATGCCCACATGTGTTACCCATACTGGAAGAAATGGTGGCCCTACATTTAAGTTTGTTTCCATCCTTATTTCCTATCTGCTTTGTGTAAACACAGCCTGCAGTTCAGCTGAAAAGTCTCTGATTTCTTCTAAAGTGACTGTTGGTTGCAACTGAGTCTCTAATAGCTTCCCCAATGATTCTTTCTCTTTTTACACTTTCTGGCTCTAATAATGGTGTAATTTTGGCAATTTTTAAAAGATGATATGTCCTTCAGCAACAAAATAAAACTAGTTAATGATGAAGGTTTATCGGTTATGTTTTAGTGTTTGTCTTTTACAGTTTAAACTAATCTTTACAGCGATTTTATGTCCTTGTGCAAGACAAAGTTGTTGTGTTTCTAGAGATAAATCCCTGAATGTTGACTTTCATTAGGTAATAATAATGAGCCATGTTTGCAGGGTATGTAATTTTCACATTCCTCCACTCGTTATCTGACTCACCTCATCATGTAGTTGGACTCTGCAGCAGCGTCTCCCTCCAGTCCATTAGTAACCTCTCGAGTTCTGCCGTTCACTCTGTCACTGAGGCCGTCTGAGTGGGTTTGGGTCGCCGGTTCGTGCACCTCTTTCTCGTCCCTCCTCACCCACTTGGAAGGAAGCTCCTCTATAGTGCCGTAGCGCTCGGCCAGTTCCCGCCTCCTTTCGGCCTTGTAGCGGGCGATCCGCTCTGATCTGGGCTCCAGGACCGGGTTCTCCATGTTCCTCACAAGGATTCAGATGACTCTCCTCAAGTAACGGCAAAGCATTTAGGAGCAAAAAGCAGATGCGATGTTCTTTCTCCGCTCTTCAGCTGAGGCGAAACAAGGGAGCCAGACTTTAATCCAGTAAAATTCAGATTCCATTGGACCTAAAGGCTTCTTGCTTTGCTCATAGATTCCACTAATCAGGAGCTGGAAACCAGTCGAGTCCACGATGAACGCGATGCTCCTCCTGAAACATTAATAATACAAAACAAGACAGGTGAGATAAGTTAATTTCTTACCAAAACACATACACGTCCTGACTGAAGGCTTCAGTTTCTTCCTCAACAGATTTACGACAACACAGATGAGCTGCTGCCTTCATTATAAATTAAACAATTTTTTAACAGAACAACCTTCGTCTAAGTCCACCTACTTTCCTCGTGCTCAGGTCCATGTAAGTTGACCTGTACCGGCCTGCAGGAATCTCCCCTTGCACTGAAACTCAACACCACAGCTCACCTCAGCTCTGGCTCCAGGCCTCGATGGCTCTGAGTCTGCAGGCTTGTTGGTCTTTTATATTAAACTGCGGGTAAATGAAACTGTGCATGACACTGTTTTCTTGTTCAAACGAAACGAAACATTGGCTAAGACATTCAGTATAACTTTTTGCTCTGAGTGGCATTAAGATCTGGCTTTGCACTCGTCCTACAGACATTGTGGGGCCTGTTTAACTGGTCAAACTAATCAGTCTCGTGTTGTGGCAACAATTACAAGACACTGACTCGAGAATAAGACTTCCCCTGAATTTAGAGCATCTCCTAGAGGCTAAATAGAATTTATTTTGTACTCAAAAGACACTACAATTTACCAGTGTTTCCTTAAACATCTCAATGCAGGCTATGGTAGAAGCTCGCGAGGCTGCTAAGCACAGACAAGCTTCTGGTCTCCAGCCCAACAATTTGTGATTCAAATATTAGTTTAAAAAGAGTGAAATGTGGTGTTTTAATGTCCGATTTACCTGAAACCAGTTGATATTTTTTGAGCTGTTTTCCACAAGCAAAGCATTTTAAGTGATAATGTTGCAGCTGATCATCTTCATTTAACTGTAAGACACCAAAATCATGATCCTGATTAATATTCCATTATTTGTGCAGCACTACGGCTAATGTTAAGGTTCTTTTTGCAACCAAATCTTTATTTGCAGTGTTTCTTTCCTCCTGTTCATCACTCATTTTGCTGTCCACATGTGGAGCCTGCTTGTCAACAAACTGAGTGTTCAATAAAGTTTTTTTTTTAAGTGTATTTACAAACCCTTAAATCAGAGTAAATGGCATTCTATCAGTCAGACTTCACTAAAATGGAAACCATGGTAGTTTTGTTCTTGTGTCAAGCAGCAAAAATGTGTGGCATGATGTGTATTAGTCAGTTTTTTCTGACTATTGCGTATGAGCACATCGCCGTGTCAGTGCAGAAACCAAATACCATGCAAATGTTCTCCAACAAGCTGCATCACCCATTTTACTGTTGTCTGAGTATTTAATCTGACTAAAACACACACACTCTAACTGGCCATGGTTTCACACTTTTAAATACACTTAAAAAGGACCTAATAATTACATTTACACGTAAGAACACCAACAAAACCTGCAGCTGTAAACTGTGTCTAAACAGAACTAATGTGGCCTGATTTGCATTTAAAACAGCAACTGACCATCTGACAGGTTCAGAAGTGAGTGTCTATGTGAGCTCACAACTGTGTACAAACATAAATGTGTGTTTGCATATGTGTCTGTGTGCTTCCCAAAACTGTACGTGTCAGCATTCCTGGTGCAGGAAGCACAATGGAGCCAGAACAAAGAGGTGTGAGCCACAGACTTAGTGCACCAGATGGATCTGCTGCAGGGCTCAGTGTTTCTGATGGCAGCCGAGTTTAAAAAGTAAAAGATTCTGTGTTTATTTCATCAGTTTCAGCTTTAGTGCTGCTGGGAAGAAAGACAGAGTGAGCTGGGAAAATGGATGTAGAAAAAAAGTGACAAAGTGTGAACGAATGCAGGTCAGATGTGATTTTAAACTCTAAGAAATGCCCAAAGGTTGAGTCATATTGAGTCAACTGAAGGCCACAGTTGCAGTAGGAGGATGTAGATTCAAATTTTCAACGCCACAGAGAGCTTTAATAAGCTGAAGTGTAGGTGCAGTGATCCCTGCATGAGACAACAAGCTCAAGGATTTCTGGTGTCACTTCATAACACGTGTACACGTACTCAGGAGAACTCACCTCCCTGTGCAGGCTGAGCAACCCTCCAGCGTCCCCAGCCCCACTGACGCCACACTCACTTATGTTTTTGCTGGCAAAACATGAGTAAGAGTTGAGTGTGGCCACACTTGTGTAAAGAGTGAAGGTCATGTGACAAGCTGGAGGATTGTCGATTGGAGGGGAGAATGCCACTGAGGCTCAACAGGGATCATGGGCTTCTAATCTAGCGACACTAGTTGACAGCAAAGCTGGTGGATGAGCGCACAGGACCAATTCTCTACATCCTGCTGGAGATTTGAGCTTCAACAATGCTTATAATATTTAACTAAACAGATCCAGAGGGTTAAATAAAAACACCAATAATTGCTGATTTCAAGAAATAGGTACAAATCTTTGGCTCCTTTAACAGCACTTCAAGCACAATATTGCAGAACTGAAGCAGATATATGTCAAGGACAATAGCTATTTTTCTAGTAAATTGACATTATTTAGGAGCACAAGCACAGAAAATTCAAATATTACATAACAATATGACCTCAGTGTCCAGCAGTAGCAGTAGCAGCAGCAGCATCGTGAACCAGATTAAAAGTCTGGCCAAGAATAAGCCACTGACCAATTACACCTGCCCTGCTGAGCTATCTGCACCAAGGCCCCCCCACAGATCTCTATAATTCAAGGACAAATTCTCCAAAGCCTTTCCTGCATGCCACGAACTGATAATAAATCATGAATGTGGACGGGTTATTGCAGCTTTGAATTGCACTGCATTGTCCGATAGCAGAGACAAGGGCGCTCGAGTTTGACATGAGCAGCTCCAGACCCTGTTAAGCCTTTTAAATGATGTTTGCATTGGAGGCATGTGGCTGGAGGGCTGAGAGGAAGGGCAGGTTTCTCATGCAACCACCATAATCCACTCATCAGCTCCCAGTGGACTGATCTGTTTTTACATTGCACACATAAATGACGTGAATTTGTCCAACAAATATCCACCATGAATGACCTAAAACTGGCGAGATCATTTCAAATTCTAACATAATTCCTTTGTTCTTGGTCATGTAGAGTCACAAACTCAAATGTTTAAGCTTCCAAAGTGCTTAATAATTACTTACTTTAACTAATTTACAGTAATTAATAGCAAACAGAAATCAAATATTAAGTTTTACGTATACTGGGTTGGAAAATAATTCGCACAATGCACTCCCACTTAAAGGAAATTCGTGCGTAATTTGTGCGTAAAACCCGTTTGGACACTCCAAAACATTAAACTGCGCAACGGTCAAGATTAATTTAAAACGTTTCTACATTAACCTTCGCGCTCTCGAGTCACACAAAGTGACTGAACATCACAACCACAGAGCTTGAACTTCAGCAGGTCGAACACAACAGCAACAGGTGACGGAGCGCAACAAGCGGTAAAATATTCAGAAGTCGCGTTAAGCTGCCGCGTGGTTACACTTTCGGCTGTAACTTAGTCTTTTACAGAGAGAATTAAGTATTACAGGTGTACTTACCGGCAGTGAGCGCCGTGTGCCCTCCTCGGTCCCTCCCCACTGATCCTCCACCGCCGTGACTCGCTCCAAATGTAGTCAGAGTCGCAGCTGCGGATGGTTCTCCGTATTAAGGGGGGAGAGTATAAATAGATGAGCAAAGCGAGGGACGCCCCTTCGCACTGTACACGAGGCGGCGTGAATATGTCAGCGGAGAGACGCCGCTCCTCCGGTCCAGATCTGCGCTGCTCTGGTCACTGTTGAGGCGTTTAAAGGAGACTCGGGAGCCTTCAGGGTCACTTGTGTCAGTGGGCGGTTTAAATGATTGCAAATTTGTTCATTTGCACTCCTTAAGTTAAAAAAAAAAAAAAATCAAATAAAATCAACCAAAACTTAAACGAATGATCTCAAAGAGAAGCTCTGTGCGCAAATCTAGCTCGAAGACTTAAAACATTCTACTTTACATGGTGCTGATGCGATGTAATTTCCCAAATTAAGTTAATTAAAGCGCCACAAACCAGCTGACTGCATTAAATACTGCAGTTTCTTGATGTTGAAGCAGCTGTGCACTCTGCTCACTGCACACTTATACAAATTGTATACAATATGCATGGAAATAAAACGTATTAAATACAAGTTTAATCACAATAATATTTACTTATTGTGTCTGTTAAGGATCAATTATTGACTGAAATGCAAAATTACTGAATATTCTAATTGCTAGTTGTCGTTTTTTTACTCTGCTGTTCAAACTCTTTTACAACAAATAATATAAAGGAAAATAAAATATATTAGGCTTGGTCACAATTATATGTACTTATTGTGTCTTATAGTTACTGACTGAAATAAAAAAATGATATGGCATTAAACTTCTAAATTTCCCTTTGTGTTGCTCTGCTGTGCACACTCACAAAACGCTTGTACAACGTATCATATAAATGAAAATATATGAAATACATGCCACTTCATAATTCTATTTACTTAGTGGCCATGAAAGGTAAAATAACTTAACATTACTTTAAATAACTTGTAAACGTTGCCTTTTCTTTTTCTGCGTAAACTCTGATACAAGAGATACAAATGGAAACAATGGAATGGCACAATTATTAATAAAACAAAACTCAAAGGAGCTTTACAATATTACTCTAAATGAAGTCTTGTGTTATTCTGCTGTGCATACTTACAAAATGTGTATATGTTTAAAATATATATATATATATTTGTAAAAACGAAAATTTAAATTAAATGAACGCTTATTTAAGACTTTAAAATGACATCCAAGTGTCACTTTTACTTCTTGTACCATGCACTTAAACAACTTTGAAAGGCTATTTTTCAACATTTTTATTATTTGACCAACTTTACTTTTTAATATTTTGGTTGTCATTGTTATCCAAGTTTATTATTTGTCTGTCAAATCTTTTATTTTCTTACTCAGCCATACTGTAAATAAGGCCGTCATATCTCAACACATTCCAGATTTTAAACAATGGCTGAATAAATCTATGTTTTTGTATTTTTTGATCAACTTTTCACCAGGTTTCACTGACATAACACCATAATTTGGGTTTGAAGTGGAACCAGTGCAACAAGTTCTCCCTTCTTGGTGTGACTGATGTTCCAACAGCGCCTCCTTCCATTCACACTGGGAAACTACAAATGAATTAACATTACAGAGCCCTTTCACAGGCTTTTCACAGACTGTACCAAATGCAGAGACAGATGCAAGAGAAAGTTATTTATGTAAATGATTGTTAAATGAACAGTGCAACTCATGTAGAAAAATACAATCTGTGGATACAAACATAAATACTGGTGTAATCTGTATTGATCGCACCATAAATATCTTCACAAAAGTATCAAAAATAAAGCGTTACATTTCCTCTGATGTAAGTAAAAAATCTTTAGTCAACAGAAACAACGTAACTTAAAGGTGTTCATAATATTCTTCTCTGTGGAAAATATCAAAACCAAATCTCTACTTTTAATGGAAACACTCAACAATAACAAAGTTGCACTACATTTTGTGGAAATAAACAACATATTTCTAAATTTAAATGAAAAAGCAGAATCCTGTTCCTGCGTTCACATGGAGGCAAATCAAAGTCAGAAACTACAACTCAGTAAATAAAACTATTAGAGGACAATCCATCAAAAACGCCAGGCTCTGAGCAACATGGATCTTATGGCGCAGCACTGGTTGCCTGTATAGACTGTAGATTCTGGAAGCTCAGAGCAGCAGCAGTTGAGCTTTTCTTTCTTCCATTCCTCATTCAACTGAACTCTTGGGGTGCCTCGCAAAGAAAGGGTGGCTCAGGGCTTTGATGGCGGAGATGCGACCGCTCGGTCTGAATGCCAAACATTGCTGCAGGTAAGGAGACGTCACACCTTATAAACATGCTGGAGAGAAATTACCGTCTTTGCCCTGCGACGCCACAGTCCCAGCGCTGCTACAGGGATCCAGACTGATCTCAGTTTCAGCTGATTAGTCCAACTAGCAGAGCAAAACATCTATTTATAAGCTATTGCACAGCTGGGTCAGCAGTCAGCAGAAGAGATGCTGCACTGTCTTTGATGGGGGAAAAGTTTCATAAGACAATAATATTCCAAAATAATTAACCATCATCAGCACAGATCTGCTGACTGTGTAGCTGAGAACATCTTTAAATTAGTTCAATGGTTCCTAAATGATGAAAATGTGCGAATTCATTTAACTACAGCAACTTATTTTACCTTGAAATGTGTTTTCAAGTGTTACTTGGGAAGCTGTTGCCATATTTTGATGATAACTTTAATGATTAGAGAGGTCACATTTTATATGTAGTTATAGGAATCATCCACACATACAATGATGTCACTAATATCCTGTGGCGTATCTGTGAAATGGAAAACTCTCCACAGTAAGACGCTTGACAGAAAAATGACTATTTTGTTTCAGCAATAAGCTCTAGCCATATACTGTAAAAGCCTCAAAAATGGAAGTACTACCAGTGATTATTTCATAATTATAAGTACTGAATTATGGTACTGCTGTCGTTTCATCTGCATAAATGTGTGCAACTCTTTTGCTTAAAAGATGCTCGTATAGATCCTGCTGCTGTCTGATGCTGCAGATATGTTATACACTCGGAGGAAAAACTCCTACAAACAGCTGAAGGCAACAAACTAAACATCAGCTCCTGGTTAAGTTTTGTCAAAACTTGGATTACATGCATCACTGGTGAGTTTCATTAATCTGACCTGTTACAGTAAAGACACATTTTTATAGATCTCTTCATTCTGTAATAGATTTAAAATTGTAAGTTAAAGTGAATAAAAATGAAAGAGTTTTTTTATCTGCTCACAATGTGCTGCTAGTTAGAATGTGGGCTCTTCTTACTTCGTTAAATAAATTATTGATCAGTTGTCAAATTTATGCAACTAGCTATTACCTGTTAGAGTACTTACTGTATCAGCACTACTGTGATTCTCTGTCTGTTTTGACCTCACAGTACATTATATTTAGTAGCTACTTTAAATTCTCAAAAGCACATTTATGCATTCTGTTTCTAAAATTACGAAGCACTGTGTCCAGAGTCAGTCCCTATTTACTGCGTTGTGCTTTGTAAGTCTTTTGCCCTCTTACATTTTATTTAAGTGGTTTACAAATGAGAAAATAACTTGTGGTGTAGTCACGCAAAATAATAAAGATTCATAAGTGTGCATAAGGAGTGACAGAGGACACAGCTTCAGTGTAAACTAGGAGCCTTTGCAACATGACCTAAAAACAGAAACACAGGTTTGCTCACAGATAGGAGGTCGTTCTCGTCCGGTCCCAGGTTAGGCAGCAGCTTGGTGGAGGAGCCTTTTGGTCCCCAGCTGGGCGAGTATGGGACCGGGGTGTCTTTAGGCCAGTCCTTCTCGCTGGGCAAACCAATCACCCTGACGGACAGAAAACAAGGAGCCACTGAATGGCAGCAGTCATCCACAAAGCCCAAAATGTAAAAGCTACTGTGAGATTGTACAAATGAAATTAAATGTACAAGTCTGTGACAAGCAAAGAGGCAATTTGGCTCAGTTGTTTGAAAAAAACAAAACAAAAGACACAATAATTTACATCTGGTTAGCAAATTTCTCCTGTTTTTGAAAATTTTGCTCATTTATTGTAGTACTTGCAAGGAACAACTATTGAAATAATTATGAGTATTATTTCTGAGTTACTTTAAGTCAAAGTGGCAGCCCAGCATCACTTTATATCAGTTTATGGTCAGGATAAAGAAAGAACAAAAATACTCACTCAAAGATTTTTTGCAGCTGCTGCACCTCTGTGTATCCCTGAAACAAGGGTCTGTGGGAAACAGGAATGCACATTTATAAACAATAAGCCAAAGTGTTGTCCAATATTTTGACAATCAAAAGTAAGATAAACAGAAAGAAAACACCAAATAAGTCTCTACTCAGGCTGCATTATATGCAAAGTCACAGCAATAACTCTTAAAAAGTATTGTATGTTATGTCAGGAATTCAATTTTTCTAAAAACACATAATCAAAGAATTTCAACTTTTGTTTTTGCCTTCTTATTTTCTTTAGGATTATTGCCATTACAAAGATTGTGCTGTTTCCCTGAAGGTGCAGTACTTTAAATTGTAGGGAAAAATAAGCCCACAGTGAGGAAAAAGGTGACAGGAGCAAATAACGTCCAGAAACTATTCAGTGTTCAGAGGGTTAATCTTAGAAATCACTCTTTGTTGGAAAAAAAATGGCTTTAAAGTAGCACTGACAACGCCAAGATGACCAAACAGGTTCAGGAAATGCAGGGACATTGAACTTTTTAAAGCCTAAACAAAAGTTGCACGACACTTTCATTGCTATATATCCACATCTGTACACAAGGTTTTGCCTCCAATCTCCAGCGTCACATATTTTTTCCAGCTAAACACACACTGAGATGTTCTTACTTCAAGAGGAAGAGCTCAGCAAAGATGCAGCCGGCGCTCCACATGTCTACCGAGGACATGTAAGCAGAGTTCAGCAGCACCTCGGGGGCTCGATACCACAGTGTCACCACCTGAGCAGAGAGAGGCAGAGAATATAAGACAGAAAGACACACAGGCGGGGGTGGAAGAAGCCTTAAAAGAACATTTTCTACCTCAGGCACAGGAACAGTCTGAATACAGTGCTGAGTATAAGAAAAATGGCTGACTGCAGTACCACTTAATACTTTACAGCAAGTTTCTGTTGCCTCACTTACACCTGGAGTGAGAGCCATGTTGAAGGTGTGCATCCGTGCAAGTCCAAAGTCTGCAATCTTGACCTCTCCATGGTTGCTGACCAGAATGTTTTCTGGTTTTAAGTCACGGTGCAGCACCAAGTTTGTGTGTAAGAAGTCCAGACCTTGCAGCAGCTGCCTCATCAGATCCTGGAAGCAGCACAGCAGCAGTTATGATTTCATATCAAGAGCTGTGACAGTAAAATAAAATCCGACCACGAGTTCACACCTTGACACGTTCACGGCTCAGTCCGGTGGCAGGAACCTTTGACAGGTAAGTGAGCAGGTCCTGGTCAATGTATTCCAGCACCAGAGTGAGGTCCAGGCTGGTGCCCACTGGGACAGCGGAGGCATCCAAGAGCCTAAAAACGGATGGACTGATGAGCTGATGAGTTTATACTCGAAAGGTCAAAGGTGTAGATCTCTGTGGCATTATAATGTTGTGCAAGAACACTTTGCTGAAGTCAAACAACCACGAGACAGCAAACAGAGGTGCTTTTATTCTTTGTTTGTAAATATGGACAGTGGATGTTGCTTCTGTATTATTTATTTTGAAAGCAAGTGAAAATATTGATTAATAACGACAAAGGATCTTACCAAAACTAGGAATTTACCAAAATATTATTTGTAGAAAGGTTATTTTTAAGTATACAACACAAGTGAATACATCCTGATACAATATCACTAAAATATCAGATGATTCAAAATGTCCCTTCCAGGCCTCCATAGAAACCTGATGAATACTGGGAGTAAATTATTGGTCAGATGAGACCAAGATGCATTTGTTGTGCTCAGACGCATGTGTTTGGTGTGAACCTGGATACCACAGTGAATGCATCATCCTGACAGTGAGGCATGGAGGAGGGAGTGTGATGATATGAGGCTGCATGAGTGCAAAATGTGTTGTGGAGATTTACAGATTACACAGTCAACACTTGGGAATATATCAAAACACTGGCTGACAAGATGACTCCCAGTCTGCAGAGGCTTGAAGAAGAGGGATAATATAAAGTGAAATATCTGGTGTGATACAGAGCAACACCACATTACAGCTGCTCGTTTTACTGTACTGAACCTACTTGACCACGTTGGGATGGTTGAGGTCCTCCATTTTGCGCAGCAGCGCCACCTCTCGGATCATGGAGGCAGGGACGCCGCTCTCCGAATCTTCGCCGCGGATGCTGAACTTCTTCACCGCCAGGAGCCGCTGTCTGTCCCCGACCTCTTTGGCCTTATATACTTTACCGTAGCATCCCACTCCGACCTCCGCCAGCAGCTCGTAGCTCAGAGGCTTCGAGCAGGAGTTCATTGTGTTCCACATTCAGGCGAAATTAACCTTAACTTGAAAAAAAAAAAAACAAAAAACTCCACATTAGCATAACAACCATTAGACACGTCGTAGTCACCAGTTTAAGCTAGGCTAATAGGGAGCTAGCTAACCAGCTCTCTGAATATACTGGCTAAAAGGTTAGCTAGCAGGTAATAAACCACCTGTGACAGCACACAAACACAAACCACCCGTATTAACACTACTTTTATGAAGCTTACTAGCGTTACATGTTATTTTAGTTAGTGTTTTTTTTTACTTTTACCTCACCTACCTACCTTTTTACTTTACTTACTTTATCTCACACCGCGTCTCCACCACCACCCGCCCGCCTGCCAGAAAATGTCTCCACATAACTGTCGCCGGTGTCACAAACTCATGAGAATATCACACCCCTTTCATCCACCAACTAATCAGAAAGCTCAAATTTTACATTTTAATAAGCCCATTCCTTGTACACGTGTCCCCGCAGCTGTCAGTGTCACTGCACGGTGCGTTCAGGTGCAGGCAACGCGTGGAAATTACTGAATCCAGTGCACGTTAACACAACAAATAAACAAGTAGAAAAGCTTATGATTGGAGTACAAAGTGGTTTACCGGGATCAAACAGAGGCAGCAACACTTTAAAGTGGTTAAACTCCAAAAGAGCCAATAATAGTAATAATAATACGAAGTTTATGTCGTGATAATTACAAAAAATAATAATCCTGGCACACGTGGAAAAACACTCAGATGTCAATTATTTAAAATGAAATCAGCTCTTAATATCACACTGTTTCTGCGCTGATAAGTACTTTCTCTTAAAAACAAGTTCTTTTAAAAAGTGTAAAGACTATACTGGAGCTACATGCCCCAAACTAGAACACCAGAACTTCCTCAGTTTTGGGCCTCAGTTGTGTGTCTATCTGCATGTCTGCATCATGGCTTCCCGAGGAAAAGAACTGAAAAAAAAATCTGATTAGGGGATTTCACAAAGATGGAAAAGGATACAGAAATCAGCGCACCACAGTTGAAGCAATAATTGCAATGTATAGAAGGAGCCATAGTACCACTAACCAGAGCTGCAGCGGTCACCCTCCGAAAATGATGCCATGGACATCACACGACTTGCACAATCTCCGAAAACCAGAAGTGCTTCAGACTTGGCACAGAGTTTGTCAATTGCAATCAGAGTTTCTGTGAGAGCTCAGGCAGTGTGAAGAGCTGCTCATGACAGCAACCTCAATGGATAGCCTCCAAGAAACAACTTACTGTGTGTCAAACTTTTCAAAAGAACATGAAAAAAAGGCGTGGTGAATTTGAGGAGCCCATTCTTTGGTCAGACACGAAAAATAAATTGGTTTGACTGACATGGAGTCCAGCATGTTTGGTGTGAACCTGACCAGTAGCTAGAGTGAACAAATGGCAGTCCTGACAGAAAAGCACGGAAGTGGGAGGTAACAAGATGGCTCCCAGTCTGCAGAGTGTTGGCAGAAGAGAAATATCCCAGCATGATAACAGTCCAGAGCACAAAAAATAAGTGAATACCCTACTGTCCAGCTTAGAAGTTATGCAGTTACAGTCATGTGATGCAATGGGGAATCAAGTTGCCATTTACGTGATATTACACATGGGTGTACTCACTTCTGATGTACACTGTACCTGTTGAGAAAATATTCATGGCACACTACAGAGTAAGTTATAACCAATTTATTATTTGGATTCTTTCATTAATACAAACAGGAGAAACTCTAGTAATATGCAAACCGAACATATGTGGCATAATTAGGCACAGCGTTAAAAGCAAATTTACATAAAATATTACACAACAGAGTGCATATGAATTCCAACAGTGAGAACACTGACGGTCATGTTAGCTTAGATGCGTATTATTGACTGTAGTGTGGCAGTAAAGTGCTGGTTCAACACAGCTTGTAGTGGTTACTCAGCTAAATATTGCTAAGAAGTTACTCCCCTTTCAATTTGTCATTCATACGCTTAGTTTTCTTTGCCAAAACGATGGTATCCAGATGGAGGTTGCGGTTGAGAATGACCGAGCCGCAGGTGAGAGCTCCGGCGATGGCGCCGGTAAAACCACACAAAAACATGTCCTGACCTGCAACACAAACAACAAGTGTGAGAAATGCAGAAAACAGTGTCTTTAATTCATAAACTGGACAATATGAGGCTGCACAGACCTGTCAGGTAGAGGTTCTTCAGAGGAGTCTGAGGTCTCACTGTGGCGTAGAGTTCAGGGCAGAATCGGTCGATGCCGTGATCCGCTCCGTAGATCTCACCTTTCATGGCTCCAAGATAGTGATTGTTTGAGATGGGGGTTCCAGCGTCAATGTACTCGATCTACACAAATAGTTATATGAATATGCAGTATACAGTCACTTTATTAGGTACATCTGAAAAATGAGATATGAAATTGGATTGTTTTGGGGGGTTTAGCTTGAAAAGTCCAATTTTGTGTCCCTTTTCAGCAAAAGTGTTTTAGTTTTTTAGCTCAAAAAATGAGTATAACTGCTGGTAGTACATCCTCTTCTAAACAGGATTTTTCTGTCTCTGTAGTTTTGAATGTAGCTAAGCTCCTGCTGCCCCCTTCAGGAAGAAGATTCTCTCTGCATCTGTGATTGAAAGCGTGGAGCAGGACTTTCTGTCACTGCTTTGTCTCTCTGAGTGATCATTTCACAAGGAAATATGGATCAATTCACAGCATAGCTGTTTTTTTTTGTTTGTTTTTTTTTAAAACTCATTTGTACTTAGCTTGTGAAGTGACAGCTGGTTAACATGTAGTCCTAATCGACTGTGTTTCAGTCACTATTTCACACTCATTCTGGTGCCTGACCAGAGCAACAGAAAAAAGTGTCTCTATCTCTTTGCAGTCTTAAAACAAGCATTTGTTTTGAGCACTATCTGTTTTCCTTTGATATGTGCAGTCGGCATGTGTGGACAGTCTGGACTCTCATGGACTTTGGCAGGTGAGATGATAAAAATTAAGTCACATGGACCCTTGCAGACATGTAGAAAGCATGAACTGACCTTTATACAGTGAATAAGGGCCAACCTACGGAGCCAAACTCTAAGAAGAGCAGTGAAGCCTTATCTCCCTGCTCCATAACCATTCCAAGCTAATCAGAGCTGAGAAGGCAGAAGAGAGATTTAGTCTTTACCTTGTCTCTGGTGATCTTGGGGAAAACTTCCATAGTCATCTTCAGAATAGAGTCAATGAACGCTTGTTTCAGCTCTTTGTATTCAGGTCCTCTGTTTTTCACTTTGTCATCCTTCCACTCCTCAAACCAAGCATACTTGGCAAAAGTGACCACAGTCAACGTAGACTTCCCTGGTGTGAAGAAGACAATGTTTGAAAAAGCAGGATAAACTCTGTTCTGGAGTCACCATGCATGTTTTTTTTCTATGCTCCCCACACTGATAAGTCTTCATGCATGACACCATTGGGATCTGTACCTGGTGATCTTTCCTCCCAGGTGGGATCTTTAGCCGATGCTGAGGCGACAAACACCAGTGGCACTTTTTTAGCAGATTCTTCTCTGTCTCCATTCATGTAGTTCACCATCCTTTAAAGGAAACAGACTCAAATTGACATAAAACACAGCACAACATGAAAAAAAAAAAATAATTTGATATGAAGGCAACAGTAGATCAGAGGTTCAACAGGAAATAACTAGTCTACAGACTTGAGGTATTTTTGCTGAATCTAAAATCTTTACAATCTGTTCCAGAAGTCTGTAACTATAATAAGCATAATAAGCAGATCCACATGAGGTATTCTGTCATTTGCATTTGATTTTTAAACTCAGCAAGTTTGACAGGCACGTTATCTGTAAGAAAACTGAAATGATCCCATTTATCAGCCAGAAACTAAAAACTGTACAAATAGTCAGATTTAACTTTTTTTTCCGACGCTTTGCATTGCACTTGGTGATGTATGGTTTGCATGCATGGAAACCCATTCCATGAAGCTCTCTGCGCACTGTTCTTGAGGTAATCTGAAGGCCACATGAAGTTTGGAGGTCTGTAGTGATGGACTCTGCAGAAAGTTGGCGACCTCTTCGCATTATGCGCTTCAGCATCCGCAGACCCCACTCCGTCAGTTTACATGGCCTACCACTTGGTGGCTGAGTTGCTGTCGTACCCAAACACTTCCATTTTCTTATAATACAGCTGACAGTTGACTGTGGAATATTCAGGTGCGAGGAAATTTCACGACTGGACTTGTTGCACAGGTGGCATCCTATCACAGTTCCACGCTGGAATTCACTGAGCTCCTGAGAGCGACCCATTCTTTCACAAATGTGTGTAAAAACAGTCTGCATGCTGAGGTGCTTAATTTTATACACCTGTGGCCATTGAAGTGATTAGAACACCTGATTCCGATAATTTGGATGGGTGAGCAAATACTTTTGGCAAAATAGTGTACATTCAGCATGGTGAAATATCTGTCTGCAGCTGATGTAAATGGTAGAGTGGAAAAAAACATGAAAAATGCTGTACATGTTAATTTGGGGTTTCTTTTTTAATTTTCACAAAATAAACCAATCAAATGGGCTGCAAGGTGGCTAGCGGTGGTTAGCACCGTTTCCTTGCAGCTAGAAGGTCGCTGGTTCGCGCCCCAATGAGGACATCTTTCTACGTGGAGTTTGCATGTTCTCCCCGTGCAGCGTGGGTTCTCTCAGGGTTCTCCGGCTTCCTCCCACAAGTCCAAAAACATGTTAAGGGTTTATTGGTGATTCTAAACTGTTTATTAAGCGGTGTATAGATAATGGATGGAAACCAATCAAAGTCTTTATGATTTATGGCATTCCAGCTTTGTTATACTGCACAAAAGTCTCTCAAAGTTTTTATAGAGGTGCAGGACTTGATATGGCAATAACAAATAATAATACATTTAATTGGAGCAAAATGAGCTCCAGTGTCAGCATAGACCACAAAACAGTGCTCCAAACTAAACAAAAAACAAACGAACAACAACAACAAAAAAGATATATGGCTTAATTTTCATTGAAATGAAAATCTAAAAGGAAGACAACTTACAGTTCATCAAAATTGTTCTCAGCAAAGATCCAGTAGTTGTCTGCTTTCAGGCCCAGCTCCTCCTTGGTTCCATTCAGACCCACGAAAACACTCAGGCCACCCTCACCATGCTTCATCATACTCAGCTGCTTCTGGATAGCTGCAGGACAGGAGAGCAGCAGTGTAAAACACAACTTTACTAATGGATTGCAAACAAAAGCGACATGAAAACTAATATAAGAAGCACGAGTCATTGTCCTCATTAGTTGGAAAAGAACCAGCACCACTTTGCTGCTGAAAGGATTAGCCAGTGGCTCAATCAGCAGAAGATTATTCAGCAAGTGTTGTAATTTTTTTATTAATCTTTTATAAATAAAACATGCTCGTCCCATAGAGGTGCAGGATGTTATATTGCCATGCAAAATGAGGCCACATTGAATAAAAATGTGACAAAAAATGCCTGCGGTTCAGTGGGGCGATTTAAAAGGTTAATAAATATGAACAAAAAATGAATCCAGCCCTTACTTGCAGCTCTTGTCTTACCTGGCAGGGCCTGGAGCTCTTTGGGCAGCAGCTTCTGGTAGGTGTTGAAGATGCCGGCATTAGAGATGACCATGGGTGCATGGATGTGGACCTCTTCCTGACCTTTCATGACGCTCACACCTGAAAACACAAAAACCAGTGAATCACCTCCATCTGTGGAATCTGCATTATGTGTCTGTGTGTAAAAACTGAGGGGATCACACCAACCAATAGCTTCCTGAGAACCGTTGAATAAGATGCGGTTGACCGGAGCTCGAACCAGAACGGCACCTCCTGCCTTCTCAATGATGGGGATCATGTGGTAGGCAATTTCGCTGGCTCCACCTTTAGGATACCAGGCACCGTTCAAGAAGTGAGTGACCAGCAGACTGTGCATGGAAAAGCTGGCATCTTTTGGTATGTTACCTGCAGTTTAGAAAAACAACACCCGTGAGCAGCATGACGAAGAATTATTCTGATCACTGAACTGAACCCAGCTGCAGTCCGGCTTTACCGTAGGTGCCGAAGATGTAGGTGAAAACAGCCCTGAGGTCTTTGTTCTCCGTCAGTTCATTCACCACTTCTGTCAGGCTGCGAGGGGCCATTTTGAAGAAGAAGGACAGACGCTTGGCGAGGCCGGTGTAGACCAGGAACTTGGCCACAGGGCTGGGGAGGAGCTTCAGCAGAGCCAGGAGCCAAATACCATCTCCGGCTTTCTAAAAGCAAAACACATGACTTTTAACAGCTGCGCTGAGAATTTTAATCCTAAAACAGGGTTTTTCCTGCATCCTGGCATCTTCCAAAGAGGTTTTAACCAGCGCCAAACTGGCAAGAGTTAAGAAAATTCTATTTTAACCCTCTGAACTCCAACCAGTTTCTGGAGTTTTGTCACGTCCCTTTTAGTGACAGCTGAGTTATTAGTGGTTTAATGGCTTTGCTAAGAAGTCTAGAATTATTTATTAAATTTTTTAAGAATCTAGTTATTGCAAATGTTAGGTTTTTGGGAGAAAATTTAAATGGGACATGTAGAATAAAGCTATTTGGGTTTAAGCTTAAACTTGGTTAAGTTCTCCAACAAACTGGTGTGTCACAGATAAGTGAAGGGAAGTTGGAAAGTTAAAAAACTGAGGATTCTTTCTGTTTTCACAGTTTCAAGCTTTGAAGAATTGTTTAATTTTGACATTTTTTTTAAGATAACTGTTTGTGGACAGTAGGATTACTACCTCATCCGTTAACCCCCAAAGGTCCAGAGCCAGCATAAATCCCGCTATAAGATACATTAACACGGTTTCCAACTATGTTTCATGGACGTTTAAGCTATTGTCCCTAAGATTTCACACTTATTACATACAATGTTAAAGCTGCAGATACACTTGATCACAAACTGACCTGTGATGCACCAGGTTCCTACCTTAGCTAGTTTCAAGTACTCGTCGATGGCCTTCTCCTCTCCAGGGAAACATTTCTTCAGCTCCTCGAGGAAGCGAGTCTTGCCACTGTAGATGGGGTACCGCCGCTGGTTCTCAGGAGGTCCCAGAACCACCTGGTCAAATGGGTTCTCCAGAGGCTCCCACTGCAGCTGTCCATTGGTCATCTGGTCCAGCATGCAGCGAGACGGCGTGTGGTCCATCAACTCCCCGATGTAGTGGATTCCTGTGAGACGAAGGTGAAAGGCATGACTGCCAACTCTGAGACTGGCATGTTTGAAGAGAGAGGACTTTGATACAGGAAAAAAAAATATCCTTAAAACTTAAATTTTTAAGGTATTTTCACAATTAGAATTTTCAGACTTATTCAAGGGGCAGTTCTTCTCACCGACGTCAAACTCGAAGCCCTTCTCGGTGAACGTGTGGCAGCATCCTCCAGCCCGATCGTGCTGCTCCAGAACCAAGACTTTCTTTCCAACTTTGGCCAGCAGCACCCCAAGCCCGAGCCCACCGATTCCACTCCCGATGATGATGGCATCCAGGTTGTCTGGTACTTTACTGGCCACAAAACCTAAAGACAAGGAAACCAAATATTCAAATGCCAGCATGGCAGAAGTTGAATTTTTTTTTTTAAACACAGTCAGTTAACCTTCTGGACCCCAAAACCTACTGGCAGCTTTAAAAGGCCTAATGCCTTTACAAAACTTTAAACGTGACAGCTTTTGTTAGTACCAGAAACTGTTTGTCATGTCCGAACCCGCAGCTGCTTGAACCTCAGGACATTTTTTTTGACACGTCAGCATCAGCTCCACAACTAGCTAGTTCTGGCCTATATGGATAAGAGACATACTGCACGATTATGAAATGCAATAAGTCACCTTGTCCCCATCACCATGTGTAAGTGAGACTTGAAAACTCTAGCATTTTACATAAAATATTCTGAATTAGTGAGTTAAAAACAGGTCACTGATATCTGATGTTACTAAACCCGTTGAACAATTTCTCAAGGGCAACTTCAGCTTCCTGATTTGATGCAACAGAAATGAGGAACAACCATGACACATCTTTTTTAATGTCACTAGTCCTAAGCGGCCTCTGCATGAAGTGGACATCAGCTTGTGTTGCAACTCAGACAATAAAAACACGCCTCAGATTGACACTTGACACGTGGTCAGTGTGAACATGTAACGTAACTTCTGCAAAGTTAAATCACTACAATAAAGATATACCAGAGATACGTACCACACGTATCTACACTGTATCCAAAAGAACATAATTATAACAATAATGAACAAATATTGATGGACAAAGTTCACACACACACAAAAAAAAAAAAAATGGGAAAGATCTGCCTTTAAATGATATATTGGAAATTGAACACCCTGTTTGTAATAGAAGTTTTCTTTATCTCTTCTTTAATTCTTTTTTTGTTTTTTAATTTTCCATACATTTACAGCCACTATTTGCTCTTTTGTTGTGCAATAATGTAGAGGGCTGTAAATTAAAATTTCATTGGACCCTAAAGTATTTCTGCTCTGTTAAAATCTGCAGGAACATACTAATAATAAAAAATGATGAACAATTGAATTTGTTGTAAACCATGCAGACTTTGTTTGATATTTCAACAAATAATAAAAAAAAAATCTAATAAACTTACTGGAATATAAATATTCTGTTTGTCAACTAGCACTGTTTCACTTCTTTCTTCTTTATTTCATACTAGCAAAGAATGAAATACTTCTAGATAATGGATATGCATTACCATTTGTTAATTAAATCATCTGTTCTTTCACCAAAAAATTAAAAATAAAACATAATCTTTTGTATCTTCAATTGATTTCTTTATTCCTGTTTTAAATGACCACTCTGCTGCAGCTCCTACGTGCTCTTTCGTTATGTAAGAATGTCTCAGTGTTGTACACAATATTAGCTAAAGAGCTAACAATGCTATGCTTTACACCAGCATAACTCAACTTTACACCGACACAACTCAACATATTACACTTTGTGTGACTGTCACGTCCGTTTCGCAGTTCAAAACTTCAACTAACTCACCTTGTTTCAGCACTTTATTCTTCTCTTTCCGGTCGTAAACCATCTTTTTCAGCGGTTCACGGGTGTCGGTCTCAAAGGGATTTGGTCCGGAGCCGCTGAAGACATATTTTAATAAAAATAAGACCAAAGCCACTAAAATAATCGGTACAAGAATCCACATTGTGGCACTCTGCTGACCAGGTCTGTGTTTACTTCCTATTTAGTTCCGTGAAAACATCGCCCACAGAAAGGACGGGGGCTAAAATTGGCCAATCAGAGCCTTCCTTATAAGGAGGCGTCAGACTTTTTGACCAATCAAATGTGAGAGCGACCCCTTACCTTGAATGACCTTTGTGACATAATATATGGAGAGGTCATTCACAAAAACAGATAACTCCATCTTCACAAACTTTTAGAAAACCCACTTCCCCATCATCTACCTGAGACAATATCAACCAAACTTAAGTTATCTCTACTTTAGTCATGTCATTTCTACTCAGTCAAATCGACTCAACTTCAGTTTGATATTATCTCAAGCAAACAACAACAAAAAATAAGTTTTCTGAAAATCTACAAAAAATGGAGTTATCTGTTTTTGTAAATGAACTCTTCATATATACAGCAGAGGTGAGTGCACCCCTGTATAACATCATTTAAACATCAGAATTTAAAAAACAAAACCCTTTTAACCCCATAACCCCCACACCTCCCTCCTTCCTCACGTCTCACCCCCTTAATTATTTTTCATACTCCAAAAAATATATAATTAAAAAAAGGAAGAAAAAAAACCCAAAACATATTTCTGCGTGATTGGATGACACTGAATCTTTGAGTTTATGTCAAATTTCAGGTTTTTCAGGTTCCTAAAATGAGCTGAATTGAAATTATTTCAGGTAATGCAACTTGTGGATAGTCAGATAACAAGCCTGAGGTGACAAATAGTGGAGTTTTAATCACCTTTACATTGATTTGTTCACAATTCATTGCTGTTATGAAGCTTTACAGACTTTTACTACTATTCTACTATATGTTGGTTTTGCAGCTGTGTTTTATGTTGCTGTTTCCTTCTAAGATATTTTCTTGTAACCAAACCTTGATGATGCTTTTCAATAACCTTGTTAGAGTTTTTTGGCGTGCTTTTGTTTTCATGGTGTAGTTCTATCCAGGAGTACTGATTCACCAGTGACCGGATCGTGCAGATACATGTGTCTTGATACTACAATCACTGAGACACATTCACTGTACTCTTGATCTCCATTTTACCAATTGTGTGACTTCTAGCTCCAATTAGCTGCACGTGTTAAATGAGGTGAATTGTTTAAAGGGGTGAATACTTATGCAATCACTTATTTTTACATTATTTTGTGGAAATCTATTCTCATGCTGACATGAACGAGTCTTTTTCTGTAGATTTGATCATGATTCAATTTTGTTGGTCCAACTGTTCACGACAAATATATCACAATTACTGAAAACACTGCAAAAAAAAAAAAAAAAAAACATACATGGTACACCAAAGAAAAGTTTTAACCAATTTATTGTTTGCACCCTTTAATTATTATCAAAGGGAGGAACTGTAGTAAACTCAAACCAAACATACATGGCATAATGAGGCACAGAGGTAAATGCAAAAGCAAATTTACATAAAATATCACACAACACAAGTGCATATGAATTCCAAAATGTTATTACATGATGTTAGCTTAGAAGAGTTCAAGTGGACGGATAAAAGTTCAAGTTCCTTAATGCTCAGACATGCTACATCCCACGTCTTATAGCTGACTGTTTAACCACACGGAAGCAGGCCAAAGCCAAAGCAGAGACAGCTTAGTACTGGTATGAGATGATGTGGATATTTAACTTTCCATTTTGTTCTAGTGTTTGATTTATTTGTGAGACGAAATGTTGCATTCAGATGTCTTTGATCTTTAGCGTGGCAGCACAGTGGTGGTTCATTACAGTGTGTAGTGGTCACTCAGTTAAATGTTGTTAATAAGTTACTCCCCTTTCAATTTCTCTCTCATAAATTTGGTTTTCTTTGCCAAGGCGATGGCATCCAGGTGAAGGTTGCGGTTGAGAATGACCGAGCCGCAGGTGAGAGCTCCCGCGAGGGCACCGGCGAAACCACACACAAACACGTCCTGACCTGCAACACAAAAACAATGAGCGTGAGAAGTGGAGGGAATATTGTGTTCAGTTCAGTAAACTGGATAATATGAGGCTGCACAGACCTGTGAGGTAGAGGTTCTTCAGAGGAGTCTGAGGTCTCACTGTGGCGTTGAGATCAGGGGAGAACCGGGCTACGCCGTGATCCGCTCCGTAGATCTCACCTTTAGGGGCTCCAATGTAGTGAGTGTTTGTGATGGGGGTTCCTGCGTCAATGTACTCGACCTACACAGACAGAAGCATATAAACATTGAAAGATGTTATATCATGACAATTAAGGATGCACAATGTATCAGCGACCACATCGGTATTGGCCGATATTAGTGTTTTTTCCAATGTATCGGTCTGATGAACAAATTTAGCCGATGTGAAAAACCGGTGATTGTCTAACATTAGCGCCTTTGTCTCTACATTTGATATTGCTGCTATTTCACAGATGTTTTTACTTAAATGGTCCTGGACTTGAACGTTAAATATGTTGAAATATGTTTTACTTTTGTTACGTAATAAGAAGACAATGTGGTCTAACTTGGTATGGGCTTCTTTTGAATAGTTTTCCACATTCTCACACTGCTTACTTCTACTCATTTTTCGGTGTGAACAAAAATTGGTAATATCGGTTATCGGCGATATCAGAAACCTTAATATCGATATCGGCCAGAAATTTTAATATCGTGCATCACTTATAATGATACTTGATAATTTCCTGTAAACTAGCATTTTATTACACTTGCAAAATTGACAACATGACTAAAAACTGAAAATGCAAGCATCAAAGCAGCACTTATGGCAGAGCTGTTGTATTGGTTTATAAAAGATTTAGAAAAGATTGTACCTAATAAAGCGAGCAATATTCATTAAACACAAACACTAGCCTGGTAATTAATTTTGCTGTTATTTAAGTTGCTACTTATTTTTTGTTGGTAAAATGCAAGAAACTGGTGAAATTTGTGTCACTTGGATTTAGGATGTCCAAAGCCAGTGTCACAAATCAGGATCAGGGTTTATCATGGCATTTCTAACTGATCAGTATTGGCACTAATCTAAGCCTAATCCTTGGTTTCCATCCATTTTCTCATAGGTTTCGTAAGGGGTAAGCACATGTTGCATCAGGACACTGAAACTAGCTTTGGCTGGAGGATATTAAGCATCATAAAAATCTCTATCATGGTGCCCATTACTAGCTATAATCACACAATGCTCTCTGCTTGCCAAGGCACAGCTGCCAACAGTCCAGTTGACCCCCTCCTCAGTCTTTGCTACATTACTAAGCAGTAAGGAGGCTCCACCTTGTGGTGCAACCAGGTACTACAGGTGATCTGCTATTCATTTTCTGACAGGTATGCAGAGAATACAGGTTTTTCGAGCTTGTGGAGCCATGGTACACCCTGTCCCCTCAACACAATATTTCAGTGTCCTACCACAGCTGAACAACAAGTTTGCAACCACCGAAGTAACATGGATGTAGAAATGCAATTTTTTTCCCCCTCTCTCAGTGCATTGCAGAGTTTAATAGTCGTTTAGCACATAAAATAGACTGATTTTAATGATTTTCATGTACTTTAAGTGTGTATTATGAAGGAAAATGGTATTGGATAACACCAAATATTGAATGGTTTGGACTGTAGGCAAAAAAAACAAAACAAACATATTAACTTGATCGGGATATCCCTAATGTAGACCCTTGCAGACATGTAGAGGCCATGAACTGGTATTTATGTGGTGCAGACCAACGGTGCTAAACTCTAAAAGAACAGTGAGGACTGAGGCCTTACCTCCTCCATAATAAACCACCCTAAGCTAGAAAGAAGTGAGAAAACAGCAGAGAGATTTAGTTTTCACCTTGTCTCTGGTGATCTTGGGGAAAACTTCCATAACCACCTCCAGAATAGAGTCAATGAATGCCTGTTTCAGTGCTTTGTAGTCGTGCCCTCTGTTCGTCACTTTGCCATCCTTCCACTCCTCAAACCACTTATAGTTGGCAAAACTGACCAGACTCAAAGTAGACTTCCCTGGTGTACAAAAGAAAAAAGTAAGAACGTTTGAATAAGCAGGACACGCCCTGTACTGGAGTTACAATGCAGGTCTTTCAACACTGCCCATACTGTTAAGAGTTCATGCATGACCTGAGTTTCACTGTGAATGTACTGTGTGATCTGTACCTGGTGATCTTTCCTCCCAGGTGGAATCTTTGGCTGATGGAGAGGCGACAAACAGCAGTGGTACTTTCTTAGCAGACTCTTCTCTGTCTCCATTTAAATATTCCTCCACCCTTTAAAGAAAACAAATTCACACTCACATAAAACACTGAACCAAACACTGCATCCCCAACAGCATGTAGCTCTAACTTCTGCATTAAGAACATAAACCTCAAGCATTCCCAACATGAATAAAGTAGTCGTAGTAATCTTCACAATCCATCCAGAGGTCTGTATTTGTAATGTGTGTAAATTGATTCTTTCATTCACAAGAATATGTCACTTTTTTTACGTTCCTCATCCGATTCATGTCTGATACTGCAGGTATTTAAAGAACTGAGAAAAAAGACTCCTACAAACAGCTGGAAACAACAAACTGAACTTCAGCTCCTGTTAACGTTTCCCGTTAATGTCATCTTGGGTTTTCTGAATGTAAACTACTACTCAGTTAATCAACAAGGAAATAATTGTTAGTTGCAGCTCTACTAGTAAGATTGCAGCAGCGACTTTTAAGAAAATTGACGAGGGTGCTCATCCACACATGAAGCAGACAAATTCAATAAAAATCAACTCACAGTTCGTCAAAATTGTTCTCAGTAAAGATCCAGTAGTTGTCTGCTTTCAGGCCCAGGTCCTCCTTGGTTCCATTCAGACCCAGGAAAACACTCAGGCCACCTTCACCGTTCTTCATCATACCCAGCTGCTTCTGGATACCTGCAGGACAGGAGAGCAGCAGCGTAAAATACAACTTTACAACAGATTGCTTATTAAAGAGACTCGAAGTGGGTCATTGTCCTCATGAGTAGAAAACTACAGCTTTGCAGTCTTTCCTCAAATGCTGAAATGATTAGTCAGAGGATTCAATGAGAAGAGTGTAGGACCCAAGTATGGGGGGGAAAAAAAGTAAAATATAAGCAGGAAAATATTTATAATATGTAGTGGTACCACTTTCCCCCTAGTACTGGTAACAATTCCATGGAAAATGTTGACTTCAGGGAGTTATTTTTTTTGTAAAATAAATAAATAAATGTAACTTTTTTCTTTCCTTTTTAATAACACATGGCTTTATACCAATGTCATGATGCACAAAAGGCATGTTTGAGTTGTCTCTACTTCTGGTCATGGTTGTACAGTTTCCATCTTACCTGGCAGGGCCTGGAGCTCTTTGGGCAGCAGCTTCTGGTAGGTGTTGAAGATGCCGGCATTAGAGATGACCATGGGTGCATGGATGTGGACCTCCTCCTGACCCTTCATGACGCTCACACCTGAAAACACAAAAACCAGTGAATCACCTCTATCTGTGGAATCTGCATTATGTGACTGTGTGTAAAAACTGAGGGGATCACACCAACCAATAGCTTCCTGAGAACCGTTGAATAAGATGCGGTTGACCGGAGCTCGAACCAGAACGGCACCTCCTGCCTTCTCAATGATGGGGATCATGTGGTAGGCAATTTCACTGGCTCCACCTTTAGGATACCAGGCGCCGTTCAGGTAGTGAGTGACCAGCAGACTGTGCATGGCAAAGCTGGCGTCTTTTGGCATGTTACCTGCAGAGATGAGAGGGATGGCAACAAAAACTGTGAGCAGCGTGATAAAGAATGAATCTGATTACACTATCCAAACTGCAGTCCGGCTTTACCGTAGGTGCCGAAGATGTAGGTGAAAACAGCCCTGAGGTCTTTGTTCTCAGTCAGTTCATTCACCACTTCAGTCAGGCTGCGAGGGGCCATTTTGAAGAAGAAGGACAGACGCTTGGCGAGGCCGGTGTAGACCAGGAACTTGGCCACAGGGCTGGGGAGGAGCTTCAGCAGAGCCAGGAGCCAAATACCCCGACCAGCTTGCTAAAGATAAAACACAGACACTCAGAAGGTGGCTGCAGCAGACACACCGACAATGTTTCAGCAATGAAGCTAACAGTGCTTCTTTGAGAATTTTTAGTCCTTTAAAAAATCTTTCCTATTGACTGCCTATTTTACTCCTGATCTGTCTACTTGTATTTAAAAAATATCACATTAACAATTTAACAAGGCAAAACTAATTTTAAGTTTTGATTGGAGGAGATCTTTAGATGGAAAAGCGTAACTGATTATCGAGGACGCATATTTCACAGGATAACAGGAAAGCAAATCAAAGAAAGTAAATGAAAACTGATCCACTTATTAGAAATAATGCCATGTTGGTTACATAGATTCATCTTTTATATGACTTGCTATTTATTTTTGCTTGATTTTTTTCATATTCCTTCATCTGGATCTACACTGTTCCAGTCTTTTTTTTTTTGCAAATTGCTAAAAGAATTGAATAAGATATGAAACAGAGAAACAAAAAAGATGCTGACAGATAAAGACGGTGACATTCCTTTATCTGTGTGTCAAGCCAAACGCTGTTGCAACGCTGCTGGATGAAATTGTGTAACATCGCAGCTAATGGGGAGAACTCAGCAGTTCCTCAGACCTTTGACATGCCAGCTAATTATGTGAGGGATATCAGTGACAACATCAACTGAGATCTGGACAACAAAACGTGTCGGATTTTGAACACACGGTTCACTGGGAGAAAAGACTCTTACACGTTGCAATAATGAGTGAAGGTCTCCATTGCAATAAAAGTGGTCTTATCGTGACTGAAATAACAAACTCACGTTTTCAGCTGCTAATGACACACAGTATCAGTCTGCAGATATATCTGATGCAACAGGCCCGCACCTTGACCAGCTTCAAGTACTCGTCGATGGCCTTCTCCTCTCCAGGGAAACACTTCTTCAGCTCCTCGGGGAAGCGCGTCCTGCCGCTGTAGATGGGGTACCGCCGCTGGTTCTCAGGAGGTCCCAGAACCACCTGGTCAAACGGGTTCTCCAGAGTCTCCCACTGCAGCTGTCCGTCGGTCATCTGGTCCAGCATGCAGCGAAACGGCTTGTGCTCCTGCAGGTCACCGATGTAGTGGATTCCTGAGAGACGAAGGCCGAAAACGTGACTGCACAGCTGGAGCTCATGTTTGCAAGACTTTGGCTTTAACATTTTTGTCGGGGGAAAAAAAATGACAAAATTTGAAAAACTTTAACTCTAAATTGTCCAGGCTAATCCCCATAATATTACTGCTGTAGATTAGTTCGGGTAACTTTACCATTAATTATCACATTAGTTATTCTCCATCATTAATAACACTGTGGGGTCTCATCCTTAATATGTTTTATAGTCAGGTAAAGCAGTATCTTATATATTGTACTTTAATATATAATATGTAAATCTCTCTGGTAAAAATCCCATAATAAAAAAACACTATAGGGTCTTAAACTCAATATTTAGACTTGTTGGGTTATTACATAATTCACATCAAACTTTTGGACTTTGGTTCAATAGCTGTTGGTGTAAATGTGCTGTATTAAAAACTTGACTTTTACAAGATATGATAAAACTTTATCAATCCCGAAGTTAAGTCTTGTGCCACATATTGCTCAGAAAAACAAAAAGACATAACACAAGAAATGTAGTGCCTAAAAAAAAAGTAGAAAAGCAATAGGATAGAAATACATTACAATCACAGAGAGAACTTCTTCAGAGAAAATTATCTTTTCATTCTGACTGAAGCGTATTTGCAGAGCTTGTTCTTGGAGCTTCAGTAGAAAGCACCTCTTAAGGTTCAAGAACCTCCAAGAACCTAAAAGAGAAGTCCAGCTGGCTTCCACTGAAGCGCTCAAGATTACCAGGAACTGGATGACTGAGAATCTACACAGACATTTGCAAAACATCAACTTGCTTGTATTCTGCTGTTTGGAAAGCAACATCTTTTTAAATTTTAAGTTCTACTCACCGACGTCAAACTCAAAGCCCTTCTCGGTGAACGTGTGGCAGCACCCTCCAGCCCGATCGTGCTGCTCCAGAACCAAGACTTTCTTTCCAACTTTGGCCAGCAGCACTCCGAGTCCAAGCCCCCCGATCCCACTGCCGATGATGATGGCATCCAGGTTGTCTGGTACTTTACTGGCCACAAAACCTAAAGACAAGGAAACAAATGGTAACACCTAGAGTACAACAAAAACTAGAGGATTATAAATGTTATATGGTCAATGAATAAAGCATAATATTTTACCTTTGCCTTACTAACTTTGCCTTTTAATATTTTTTTATGTTATTGTTATCAAAGTTTCCTATTTAAAGGCTTAGGTCTTGCATGTTCTTACATAAATCTTTGGCTTTTTGAAGATGGATTACTGGATTTGCAAATTTATTAATGTATTATTTGTATAACACGTTTCTTTTTTCTTTTTCATCAACGTCAGTAAGCGGCATAGTAGTACAAGTAGCGGTGTTACGATTTCAGCATCACGACCAAGCGACGAGGACAGCTCGATCTGAGGGACTTTGGATTTAAGAGGAAAAAAAGTGACATTTTAGGTGAGTGAAAAGTCATGAAAATCAGTCATTACTTTTCATAAATCAACCATTCTGTCACCAAATGTGTAATCTCTGGTCGTAGTGATAACAACACAGCTAAAGATGCTAGGTTGCTAACGATGGTAACGGTTATTGGCTGACTCGGGTTTGGCTTCTCAGTCGGGTTTAGTTTTGCTTTTGTCAGTCTCGGCTGAGCACGATAACGTTTGTCTGGGATTCTCCAGAATAGAGAAACAAGCGAAGAATTCAACATTAATGTCATTTATCATTGTGAAAGCAGAAGTCAGATACTGTAGTCACAAGAGTCAAATCAGAACGTCCAGGCATTAATGAACATTATTAGTATGTGCTTAACTTTAAACAGTCTCTCAAAACCTTGTACCTGCTTTGGGAGCAAATCTCAATTTATAATAATCTTTTTTTGGCCAATGCTCTTTTCTTACAGATGCTGATGAAACGGAACCAGCAGAAGAGCTAGAACCCTCCTTCAAGCTGTGAACACACTGGTCATCTCCACAGCTGAGTGTGAGCGTGGCTTCAGTCACATGAACATTTTAACCACAACTAGAAGCTCCCTAGAAGTAAAAAGCATGTCAGCCTTGCTTTTCATCAAGTGTGTTGGCCCTCCATTGGAAGTGTTCAAACCAGATGTGTATGTCAAGTCTTGGCTTCAACGCCATTGTCTAGCTAATGATCCAAAAGCAAGAGCCCGGAAAATTTACGACAAAAAACATGATTAGGAAAATCTTTGGAAACTTCTGTGAATTAGGGGAGAACTGGGGAGGCAGCTATTGAAATAAACTGATTGGTTATCCATTTTACTTTTCCTATTTTCTCTTTTGAGGCTAGCCACCTCAAGTTTAAAAAATCTCAGGTGTTGGTGTATTTGTGTAAATTTTTGATATTCATTTTTAAATTTTGTAAATTGTTTCAACTAGTTCATTACGTTTTTTGCATTTGAACTACAATGAACTTGACCTTACTTGAGAGGATTCAGAGTTTCATTTGCAGTTTTTGTTTCACACTTCAGTAGATGAATCACCAAATTATCTCAAAGTACCATGAGTATGAAACTGCACTTGAACCCAGTAAGAAAAGTGAAAGTCCTCTGCATTTACCTCTTACTGCGTAGGAGCAGTGATAGCCATGCCAGCCTGGGGACTGACTCCAATTCTGAGATATCGTGGTCAAGATCAATTACAGGAGAATCTGACACATAAGATCCATGTCATATATGTTGTTTTAGGATCGTAAAATAATTATCTTTGAGCTTTAACAAAAATAAAAAGGGTACATAGTTTGTTTCACATCATATGCACTGTCATCAGGGCAAAATATCCATCCCAAAAAATAAAATCCACCATCCCCCCTTGAAATTTTTTTTACAACTCGACTACTGTGTAGAAGGATAAAGCATATTTGGAGGAGGTCACTTTAAAAGGAATTTTATTAAACTAAGTTATTTCTACTCCGTCTGTATCCAAAAGAATATAATTATAGCAAAAATTAACAAATGTTGAGGACTTTTCTTTTCTAAATGCCAAAAAGTTTAAAATAAAAAATAACCCAAACAAACTTACAAATCAACCATTTTGCACTGAATTATCATTCTACGCTTTGTGTGAACTTGTCTGAACTGATTAAAATTAACTTGATTTGATAGACTGTATTTCTTCTAATGCACTTTGTATTTTATCTATTACATGCATTTATTCTTCTTCTTCTTCTTCTTCTTCTTCTTCTTCTTATTATTATTATTATTAACCTGTTAAACACTTTGCATTTTAATCTGTTATGCAAATAAACTTGCTTGCTGAAAAAGACAAGTAAAGTTAAATCTTCCTCTACAAAGAATAACACTTATAACGCAAGATAACTACAAAAAAAACAACTAATAAAAAGTGAAAGATCTGTATTAAATAGAAAATTCTGGAGAAGAATAACTGTTTGTTGTGAACCATATTGACTTTGTTTTATAATTCTTTTTGCAATAAAATTCATTATAAATGACACACAGGAATTTTAATATGCCCTCTTTATTTCAAATTTAAAAAGGGAAATTGTAGCAGACATATTATGGATAATGAACATGAACATTTCCTCTTCTTCATATCTTAATTTGATTTTTCATTTTTGCTATTTTCAATGTGCAGCCACCATGTGCTCTTTTACTATACAACAACTGATACTGGTTGCTATCTAGATGAAGATATCACAGACAAAAATAGAGAAAAAAGTTATTATCATATTACCAAAAATGTTGCCACTGCGCTATCTTTACATAAAGCTATTGATATTTATTCTAATGTTTAAGTTAAACATTCTTAGTAGCAGTTAGCCCTGCAGCTCTTTGTTTCGTTTAAGTTTCACAACCAAAATGTTCAGCTAACGGCACCTACAATAATCTCGGTCGTTCAACTCACCTTGTTTCAGCACTTTATTCTTCTCCTTCATGTCGTGAACCATCTTCTTAAGCGGTCCACGGGTGTCGGTTTCGAAAGGATTGGGTCCGGGGCTGCTGAAGACATATTTAAATACAAATATGGCTAAAGCGACCAAAATAACCGGCACAATGAGCCACATTGTGGCTGTTTGTTGAACAGGTGAGAGGATGAATCGACGCTCACTTCCTCGTTGCGTCGCCGTTAAATACCGCTCACGTAACTGACAGCGATAAAAACTGACCAATCAGAGCTCTCCTTTAGGGTCTCGTCAGGCTGTTTGGACCAATCAGGTGTGAGAGCGACCCCTCACATTGAAAGAAAGGAGACCTCTGTGTCTGCTGTGTTTCATAACCAGACTGGGTGTACATGAAATCTTTGACCTCTGTGTTCTTTATCAACAAAGAACCGTCACAGCAAATTCAGAAACTATTATAATGAGTAGAAATCAGTTGTTACATGCTATATTATTCAGTACTATACTTCCACACTGGTATTATTTTTTTTATTATCAAACTATTATAGTTATTTGTACAATATAAACAGAATTAGTAGACCCCTGTGCAATAAATATCAATGTATTTGTATCACCTCTCAACAACTGCATTATTTCAAAGTCCATAAAAAGAGTATTTTCTATGATGAACTACCAAAAACAAATACATGAGTAAGACTACATTAAAAATACAGGCTGGAAAGTATAAAATTCAATGCAACAAAAGTGAATACACCTGTGATCGGTGACATGCAAGTAAGAAAACCTGTGGTCACTTAAACAAAACAGCTTTGATTTCATAATGCATAGTTCTGACAGTGGAGCACGGAGGTGGGAGTGTGATATGTGGCTGTATGAGTGCAAAAAGGTGTTGGGGAGACGACATTTATAGATGAATGTCTGTCAATATACCAGAATACTGGCTAAGATGAGTCCCAGTCTGCAGAAACTTCAAGAAGAGGAATATTCCAGCGTGAGAGAAAGCCAAAGCCCAAAATCATGAGTTTTTAAAGAAGACAAGGTGAACACTATGAACCTGACTGATATGTTGCCTAACTTGAATCCAGCAAAACACCTTTAGGGTATTTTAAAGAGAAAGGCAGAACAGCACAACCCCTCTGGCAAAGACCAGCGACAAAAAATAGTCTCTGAAGAAGGACACAACATCGCTCCAGAAATTTGCTGCCAAGGAGGATTTAGTCTGTGATCAAAAATAAGGATATATGAAGGAAAAAATAAGATTTGGATCTCTGAAAGGTGTATCAAGTGAAGTCCCTACTGTGGGGTCTGTATTTTCAACACAGTAAATCTAACGTATTAGTTTATAATTCACACAGGAGCAAACGCTGAAGAAGACAAATCAAAATTTTGCATCATTAGGTTTAATTCAGCTGATTTGACTCAGACCTGAAGTGTTTTAATTTTGATTAGTTTCATGCTGGGCTGCACGGTGAGCGGTGGTTAGCACTGTTGCCTCGCAGCAAGAAGGTCGCCGGTTCGTGTCCCAGAGAGGACACCTGTGATCTTTCTGCATGGAGTTTGCATGTGGGTTCTCTTGGGGTTCTCTGGCTTCCTCCAACACAGTCCAAAAACATGTTGAGGTTAATTCTAAATTGCCCGTACGTGTGAATGTGAGTGTGCTTGATTGTCTGTCTCTAAGTGTAGCCCTGTGATAGACTGGCGACCTGTCCAGGGTGTCCCCTGCCTTCGCCCTAAGTCAGCTGGGATAGGCTTCTGCCCCCCCGCAACCCAGTGAGGATTAAGCGGTGTGTAGATAATGGATGGATGGATAGTTTCATGCGGCTGTGTAACATTGTATTGATTTGTCATCTGATAATCTGTTGATTTACAGTCATCAAAAACTGTTAATCCCCAAACTAATCCCATGTGCCAGTGGAAAATAACTGCACATCTGACTTGACCTCAGAATCTGTGTAGTTGTGCAATGTTTCTTTAACAGAAACTCTACCTGCTGAGAAAAACGGAGAGATGTGGTTCCCAGCTTTAGCAAAAACCAGCAAACAAACGTTAAAATGTCTTCTTTTTTGTCACCTAGATTTGAAGGTGTAATTAATCTGACTTGAGAATACTCCCCCTTTGACAAAATATGTGCAAAATAACCTCACAGTAACTTCTAGATTTTATTTTTTTGCTCAAAAAAAAAAATCACCTGCATCTTCACATTCATTTCCTGCATCGCAACACCGCGAGATCCTGTTTTTTTGTTGTTGTTTTTACATCTGTTTGCAAATAGAATCCACATTTTACATAAGAAACACTTTAATTGGGGCATCTCCCCAGTTATCATCCACCCTGCACAACGTCCAGACTGCTGTTCGCGGCCCCAGCTCCAACATCCACCCTGAAATATTTCATCAAAGTTGCTAATATTGTGATTTCGTTGTTACTTTCTACATATAGCAAAAAAGAAAGATGGTACTTCATCAAATAAGTTGAAAACAAGCCAAGATTGTAGTTTTATACAGCCAAGAACCAAAACATGGCGCTTGCTACTTGCGTGTAAACTTCTCTTTCAGTTTCCCTGTGGTTTGATTATTCGTGTTTTAATATACAAATATTTTTTCCGGCTCTTTCAAGCGTAAAAAGTCTTCAAAAGTGCTCTGAACTACTTTCTGATTTTGCCCTGAGCCCTCGCAGAGATTTGGGGAACGTATATCAAAGTCAGAAGGGTGGACGTTGCAACTGGGGCTCCGTTAAATCAAGAGGCGTCATAACAAATCTCATCCCTGCTGATAAATATGTTGAGTAAACCTCGTCAGAACCTCCCCGCGGCCATCGAAAGCGATTGATTTGTGTCTCCCACTGGGCCGATCCGTTAACAGTCTGCATGTCGGGGTTTCTTTTGTTAGTGCAGTAAGCCGGGGAGGAGAGTCATGAGAGTTAATACAAATCCAGAAGAACAACTCTGGCATCGTCTTCAAGCAGTGCTCGATCATCTCCATGACTGCTGGAACAGAGGGTGATGAAATGAATTGAAAAAGAAAAAAAGAAAAAAAAAGACACGGGGTCAAGCATGACAAGAAAACTTAACAGAAGCCCTTATCTCGTGTCCACTTTTGGTATTTATTACCTCATCTTGTTGAGCCTTTTTCCTCTTTAAAATATTTTTTGATCTTTTTGTTTTTTTTTATCTCTAAAACTTAAGGATGACAGATTTATTTTAATTGCAAAAAGCACTTCCAACATTGAGGAATAAAATAAAACAGTAGGTTCTAGTCTGTATGTGTTAGGGCATCAATCCGCAGTATTGTTTGACATTATTTACATGTACTGTGTGTTGTTTAATCCTTGTAGGTATGCCAACGGTGAGTGTTTGGTATCCGGTAACCTGCGCAAACTGTTCTTGTGTGTAGGTGTGTTTGGTACAATCAAGACAGCTTTAAGATGTAATACAGTTGTTTGGGATGGTAACTACAATGGCTTAAGGTCCGTGTGATCGAGGGAGGAGGAGGAGCTGGAGGCTCTCGCTGCCTCCCCGCCTGGCAGCGGTAGTGCAGGTCAAAGTTCAAAAGGTCAAAAAGTAAAAATGGGCGGTGGGTTTCCTCTCCTAAAGCAGGAAGTCATCAGTCCATCCATCGGGTGGTCGGTGCGATGGTGTGCTCTCCTGGCCTGGTGGTGACACTCGCTCACGGCGTGCAGGGACGTCACTGCAGAACCAACCCGACCTGAGAGGGAAGCAGCACAGAGGTCAGGAAACTGGTAGAAATGTGATTTACAGAACCTTCGGCAGGAATCTGGGTGTGTTCCAACATCTATACTACATAGTACGCTAGAAACAGTACGTCCCACTACATTGTATGCGAAATACCAAATAGACAAGGATGTTCGACTGCATTCTGTTGGATTTTGCATTACGTAAGCCAGCGTGCGTGTCTGGCTAATCTGATCTACAACCAGACGTCTCGGTGCCTCGGCCGAGGATAAACAGTCAAAGTGTAAGGCACAATATTATGACAAAGCATTATGTCCCAGGTTTATGCAAAGTGCATGAAACACTTTGTACTTTGCGTAGGCAGCGGTAACACATATTGAAAGTGAAAAAAGAAAGAGTATGTGATTTAGAAGCCTGAACTGAAAGTCTATGGACAGACTGAACAGAAGTTAGCTGCCAGACTTTTAACCAGAACCAAGAGACACGATCCTATCACATATGACAGTTTAAAGCCTGGATCAAACATTCTGCATAATATATATATATTCATAACTGCAGCTTTTGTGATGTGTTAATTCCAATTGCAATTTTAATTTTAAAATGATTAATTGTTCACCTCTATTTTGGATAGACTTGATTTGACTACTTTTAAAGGGCCGTGATCTGGAACACACTTTGAGACTGAGACTGTAGAGACTGTAGAGCCACGACCGTTAACCATTCATTGTCATCTAATAAATTAATCGCTAACTGTCTTGATAATCAATTCAGTGCTTTTCTATGGAAAGAAAAGTCAGAATTCTTTAAATCCAACTTCTTAAATACAAATATTTTTTGGTTTATTTTGTTCTCTATTACAGTGAACTGAATATCGCTAGTTTGTGGAAAACACAAAACATTGAAGGAGTCATCTTGGGAAACACTAATCAAATGTTTTTTACTCTTTTCTTACATTTTATCGACCAAATAACTAATCAGTTAATTGAGAATATAACTGACAGATGAATCAATAATGAAAACAATCGTTAGTTGCAGCACTAGTCCTGAACTGATTCAAGCTTCAATATCTTTTGAACTTCCCTTAAAAATGTTTGACCTTTTCCATCACTGTATCAGGCTTTTATATACCAAAGCTTGTATCTTGTATCTGACTTCATTTTGATGTTGTAAAGCACTGCAGCTGTATTATTAGACTGCTATTATTAAATGTAAAGACTCTATAAAATGTTTGTACTACCAAATACAACTGGCCAAAGCATTAAAACTCTGTAGGTACAATATGGCCGGGAGTAATTATTACCAATGTGCTAGGCCATATACATTACATTTGTTAATCTATTTCAGCAGGTATAACAACCATAATTGCCAATTATATGTTAAATCAATCAGGTTTCAGATAATTGACTGATGGTTTAATCAGTGACAGAGGACAGAGAGCTGTTGCTTATTGCTGACTGACACTTGCACATTTTAGGACAATGAGGGTTGTGACTCATTATGTTTGCAATGGTGCAACTCCATTAAAAAAGGATCAAACAGCTTATTGCACGGACAATCCACTGTTGAAAAGCACCACTTCTGTGTGCAACTTCTCCTGACAGTGCACAATAAGATACAAGAATATTTTATAATCAACAAAAGAAAACATTTAAGTCTTTTGTCAATTAAACTGAATATTTCTCAGTGCCTTCCAAGGATGTTTCTGAGGCAAAAATGTATAAATGCTTTTGTAAATTCCTGCCAATACCTTGAAAGTGTGGTGCTACCATCATAAAAACAAGTATTTGAAAAATAATGCACCTTTTCTGACCCCATGCTGGGACACTTCCAATTGTACAGGTAATACTGTAGATTTCCATCGCCGATGCCAAACTTAAGCTTGTCCAAGAAAGTCTTGTTTTCCATAAGATCCAGTGCATTAAAGACATCAAACCCTTTCTGGAAAGAGAAGCGAAAAGACAAACCCTCATTAGCTTCCCGTGAGTAAACATGGCACAGAACACATGTTTTAATAAAAAAGGTGGATCACACACCGATTTGGCCAGAATGAGGGCGTCGGACATCAGGTCGAGCAGGGGGGTGGTTGTGTGCACGTTGTAGAAGGAGTACGCTGCTTTTAGACTGCGGTGCACAGGGTGATTCATAATGGTGGAGGGCAGTGTGTAGAAACTCAGGAAATCCGTCACTTTGCCATCGTTCTGTCAGGAGGAGAACAGCATCACCGTGACAGTGTCAGAAAAATGGTTTTAACACAGACTTATCTCAAGACAAAAATTATTGTCTGGCTACATTTGTTTACCTCCACCAGATAAGTGTCGATAATGTTCTCCCGCGGCAGCAGCCAGTGGGACACCTCGTCCTGGTTCATGCAAGGCACCAGGTTGAACTGGCTCAGGTACTCGCGAAGGAGGCGATGCACCACCGGCACGTCCTTCTTGGTCATTGGCCGCAGACCAGAAGTCTTCGGGGCCTGAAAGGGAAAAGACAGAGAAGAGGAGGTTAAAGACATGCTGAAAGAAGGTTATTGAACCTCAAGCTGTGTTTTTTGCCCCTGTGACATTTTACTCATTCTAAAGAAACAGTATAACCATGGATAGAAGTAGAGAGAACTCAAAGACGTCTTCTATCAGAATCAACTATTGGTCAAGTTTGTACACGCACACAAGAAATTTGACTCAGATAAATCTCAGCTCTCTGTATGAGAAATAAAAAAATTATCTAGAAGAATAAAATAAGAGTATGCAGTATGACACACATACTACAGATATTTTACTGCCTACATTCTTATTTGTTTCCATACTTGTATCTAATCTGCTTCATGAAATGGTTGGTTGTTGGTGTAAAAAGGTTATTTTTGGCAAATTCTTAAAAGAAACTTCATGATTTTAAGCTTTGATTTGGATCATTTTCCTGATGAAACGGCACGTGGCACGTGCTTAGTTTAAGGACTGTTTAAAAGTTGGAAATCAGATGATTCTTCACAATTTTATGCTTTGCGATTCTAATAAATGGTTTAATTTTGAAGTTAAGTTTAAAGATAACACACCATTCAAAAGCAGATTTTGGTAGTATTTGGAGGATTTAACCGACTAAAATTATGTGTAAGTTTTTCACTAACCTCAGGCAAACGGTACAACTTCATGGTGCGCTGCATAGTCATGTTCCTGCTCAGATGGGAGAACTTCACTTCGATTAGTTTTCGTGGGTTCAAAGAGCGATGCCAGTACCTGAGTGAAGAAAACATAATCAAGTAAGTGATGATTAATGCTGTGAAAAAGGGGAAAAAAAGGAAGAGGGTTTCTCAGTCAGACCCACCTGCATGTGCCCACAGGTTTGGGCAGTACCACTCCAGCAGTGTAGACCGCCTGAAAGATGCCCTGCAGGTTGACCCGTCTGGTGATCTCTCTGATCAGGACTGGAGCCACTCGTTTGGAGCGAAGCTTCTTGTGGACGCAGAGGAAATTGATCTCAACCATTTTCTTTTCTCTAAAACATGAAACAAAACAAAACAATGAATTATATGAGAATCATGTGAATAAAAAAAACATTATTTTATTACATACAAGTTACATTTCAAATATTAATTATGATGTATTGCATTTGTAAAATCCACTGAAGGTTCTGAAAGGTTCGATAAAAAGAAGAAAGAAAATTGCACCATTTATCGGGGCCAGAAACAAAAACAAACTTTCCAGTGGTCCTTGAACAAATCATCCATGATGTGCAGTTCCATCAGAAAAATGAACAGATTTTAGCTTAAAACTGTAATATGTTATTAATACCGCCATATTTTACATGTCTCGTTTTAAAAAATATAACTGTTTGCACTTGCCAGATTTTGTAAAAAAGAAAATGTTCTGTACTCCTTGACATAACCCAAAAAACACTAATAGTGACTCAGCCGCAACAAACAGTCACGTGACAAAAATTCAGAAAGTTTTGACTGGACTGCAGACTGTGTTTAGAGAAGATGGGCGACAAGTATGGAAATAAACTAAAAATTTAAATACTAATAGCATGTGGAGTCACCATTTTTTCGAGAATTGTTACACCAGTTGACACATGGAAAAATGTTGTATATGTTGGTTCTAGGTTTTTTAATTTTCAGAGAAATTTGCACTAAAACTCTGTTATACTGCACAAAAGACATTTCTGAGTTCCCTCTACTTCTAGCCATGGTTGTTCTATTTCCACAGGGTTTGACGTTGCAGTGAAAAATGATCCCATAGTTAGAAAAAATGTGGGAGGAGCAAAGAAAGGTCCAGAAATTACTTGGCTTTGGAAGGTTAACTCAAAAAACAGATGTATGAAGAAAACTTCAGCGGTTTATAATCACACGATATAATCTTTAAAATACTTTTTACATTTTACACAACTTATTCTTCATACGTTCCTTTCCACTGATTGAAGAGGAATATTTTCAAAATTTGGAAATGTGTGAAATAAAACAGAGGCGAATCATTCATGACCAGATTTCTTTACGCTGGTGATAAAACTTTGGCAAGTCATCCCTAATGACGTAGTTTTTCCCCACTATTGTGTTGACTTACATGTCATAGATGCGGATGGTGGCAGGAATGGCACTGATGAAGCCGACCAGCTTCTGGTTGGAGTTAACTCTCACTCCACAGTGCCACTGAGGCAACCAGCCGGGGGGTCGCAGGGCCCTGAGACGGAGACAAGTCAGTCAGTCAGATGCAACAGGCTACTGTATTACTATATCACTAGTACTAAAGCTTTATAAGAGAAAGCATTTACTTTTAATAACAGTCATTTAAAAGGTGTAAAATTGATAAATGTCAGTCAGGAAAAATTACCAGAGCAGGAACTCGGGGGAGTAATCAAATCTGAACATGTTGTCATCATCTTCCACGTAGTTCTCATTGAGAAGGGTGTAAAGCTCCTTGAGCTGGTTTTAGAGGAAAAGACAGAATTGGAGGCAAAGTCATTATTAGTCATGTTAGAATTAAGTATGTTTCGAGCTATTACGTATTCTGAATCTGTATTTTGCACTGAGCCTATGATTCTGTTTCGTGTTTTCTTACTAAGAACAGCATATGTCCTTGAAGACAATACGGCCGGTGAGAACTGGTTCACACACTTGGAGACAGTAGAAACTCCTCTTTTCTATTAGATACGATTGTTACTTTAGCTACACGCCGTACCAACAACATCCACACACGTTGCTTACCAAAAAATGTCAAGGACGTGGACAGAGTGTAGAAGTATGCCTGTCCACGCCATTAGTAACTGGCCAGTTAAATCTTATCTATGTTCGGGGCAGGCCCAGCCCAAGAAGATATCTGTAACCTGGAACCGAAAACACTCAGTTCAGCTGGACATGAGATTCCTCTCTGTCCCTCTGAATTCCAGCGCTGCAAAACTTTACCTGTGACCTAAATAAATTCTGCATCTGAGAACTGAAGATTTCTCCGGCTTGTTCTTGGGCTTCCAACTAAAGAATCGGGTCTAACAGTCAGAAGTGAACATTATTAGAAAACAGGTTGAATTAAAATGTAAAAGCCGTTAAATGACACCAGTATACATCATTAATCTGTGGACCTGTTCTATACATTAAACAAACACACTAATGCTCTGCCCGTTCAACCTGTCCTGCATCACTTCAGGGAAATTCTGAGGTCCAATTAGGAAGTTTCAGGACTGTGGCCTACTTGCCAGATTTGGCTCCCTGCAAGTTCTTCTTGGTGAAAATGAAATTAAAGTTGAAGGGTTGCCGTTCTGACAAAGTGGAAAAGATCCAACATGTGTCATGGATGGGGCTTGACACGCTTGCAGAACTTTCAGGGAGCGTTTCAACGTTACACAAGGAGACTACCTCGAAGGGGACAGCAGGCAAATTTAAGTCAGGTCAGGGCTTTTGCTTTTTGTGGACACAGTCTCTGAACTACTTGATCACACCTCATGCTGTTCTGACACGACAATTTGCATCATACATACATGCAAAATTTAAAGTCAAGACCAGTGTTCCTTATGACGACAGGTTTTGGCATCATATCCTCTTTGTGTTAAGAATTTCCCCAACATTTGACAAAATGGAAAAAAATGAAGTGTTGAGAGGAACAGAGTGAATCAACAATCTGTTCATATTGGTACAGAATGAAAAACAATTCTAGACTTTTAACAAAATAAAGCCGAGTGCTGAGAGTCAGTCACCTTGTTAGTGAAATATTTATTCCTCATGTGTATCCTTGCTGTGAGTGTAGGTGTTTTCACATTTTCTTACCACACCAGGGTCTCCCAAGTCGAGGGTGTCCCAGCTGAAGCCCTGCGGGAGGCTGTAGGGCTCCTCTCGAATGTGGTCTTTGTCAGGTTCAATAGAGCCATGTGATGTCACCGTCTCCCCTGAAGGAAAACACAAAAAAGGATTCCGACATGAGGCACAAAAACCTGCAGTGCGTGACACTTTTCTGAGTTTTACAGAATAGCTGACGGCCATGACATACAATCATACCTAGCTTGGGTACAGGCTGTGTGTCCCAGAACTGGTAACTCCTCCGACTTGCCTCCTCCATGGTTTTGGCAGGACCTTGGCCAACAGAGAACAGTTCAATGGCCTTTTGGATCTCCTGTAGCTTATCAGCTGGCAATGAATTCACCTGTTGGGGATTTGAAGAAGAACTGAATTGTAAAAACAGACTACAGACAAAAGTCAACATTGGACTATTTTTACATTTTAGGTCATCTGGTCCTTTGACCCACTGAAGCCCAAAACACACAGGTGGTTTAAAAAAAGGCATGTTATCTTAAAAAAAAACAAAAATCCGTGAACACAGAGCAGAGAAAGGACACAAATGGAAACATGTCAGAGAGCTTGAAAGAAAAAAAAAAAAAGGAATATTTGATCAATACAATAAGTGCAGCATGACCTAAAATCGGTAGCACAGCTGTCAGCAAGTTGCTGGAGCGTACATTCAGGATGGTGAAATCTCTTTCTTGAAGTTTTGTGCATAGTAGTATGAAAAAGGCCTTGTTTGTACAACCAAATAGTAAAATATCTTTAGCCACCATAATTTTCTAGTGTTCCAGCACTGGGAGAATACTGAATTGAGTCCAGGTTGTGTCCATTTTTGTGAAATAAATAATCCAAAAAAAAAAAAGCAACTTTAACTTTTTCTTTTCAAAGATTTTTAGCATTATAACTTTGCCAAACTGAAGAGAAGACATTTCTGAATTCTTTTTACTCCTAGTTGTACTTGTGCTGTTTTCACAGAGGTGCAGGACTTTACATTGTAGTACCGCCTGGGGTTCTGAGGATTAAAGTTAAAATGTGTTACTACAGAAATGAATAAATTCATGCCTTGGCAAGGGGGTCCTGAGCTGCTTCCGTAGCACCAGATTTCTTCTTCTTTTTCTGCTTCTTTTTCTTCTTCTTGGCACCGGTGTCGTCACCAAGACCCCTGTCACTGGAACAGGACAGAAATAGAAGGCATCCGTTTTAAACCACCACCCCAGAGGAACATCTTGTCCAGGTCAAAATGTGTCTTCTAAAATGCTTTCGAACACAATAGTTATGATGATTAAAGTTGTGTTGTTCGCACTTCTGGGCTAAAAGGATACTCATCGTAATCAACTGGAAATCTTTACATTAATGGATTTAAAATTTGTATCATGCTATCCCAAAGGGGGAACAACTCTTGACTAGGCAGGTAAAAACAAAGAATCTATATGCAGTTCATTGACCCAACTGCACATGAGGGGCTGCAACTTACTTTATTTATGTTTTGGCCTACTAAATAATCCTCATAGTTTCCAGAGCGTAAGGGGACGTCTTCAAATGCCAACGTTATATCTTATCAAAATCTAAAGATTTTCTGTGTGCTGGTTGGGTCGATTTGAAACAATGCAAATTAAAAAAAAAAAAGGAAGGCTTAAAATTTGGAACATGCAGTGCATCTGACCCTGGGTTTAAACTGTTGTATTAATGGCTTTACAAATTCCTGTCATCTTCCTTGTGTGACAGTCATGCTTTCGATGGCGTCTCACATGGTAGTGTTCTGTCACATGTTTTAAATCTATTACACAGCAAATATTGAGCTGTAGTTTCACTTTTTTTTTTTTTTTTAATGAATCCCAACTTAAATCACAACATAATCCTAAAATTGCAAATAAAGATTTCCTCAAATCATTCAGTCCTATTTGCTATTAAAAGGGAACAAAAAAACATAAAATTTACCCCATTTAATTCTAAGCAAATCGTTTTTGCATCTTACTACATACATGAAACCCAAAAACAGCAAAAGCGACAGTTACTTCCCTTTATTTTTTTTTTTACACAATTTCATATGTCATTAGTGATTGAAAGTCAGTGTTTGTTGGTGAATTAATCTAATTTGAGAACCTCTTCACTGTTTGTTTAAACTAACAATTACCAGGTGTAGCTCCAGGGCAGCTAAGAAAACAACAACTCTAGTTTATCACCTAAAATAGTCCAAACAAAGTGGCAGGACATAAGAAAGGTAGAGAGTTCGAAGCATATGGTCTGCCTCTCTCTTCATAATCAACATTAGCGGTTTGTTAATACTAGAAACAAGATGCAAAGGCGTGAAAGAACATGTGTGGACGCGCATGTAGCACCTCCCACAGCCTGCGTGTCATAACACTAATTTTTTGATCAGTTCAAACCTGAAAGGCCACAAACTTCCACCTCATCTACCCCATCCCATGACCCGAGAAACACAGCATACTTACAGTGGATAATCTCATTAGTGTCCAAGAGGGGAGAGAGGCCAAGCACTGGCCTGTATTTGTAACTCCAGCACAGATGGTGAATCACATGACCCCTGGAAGAAGAGTATGTGGCATCTACGTGTGTGCACATATGTATGTGCAAGAGGTCAGTGAGTGACCGGGACAATGGACAACAAAGCATTCAATAGTTTGTTCTCCACGCTTCCATTTTAACAGAGTGGACCAGCTAACAGCCAGGACCACGCTTTGTTTCTGTGGTGGGTGCAGGGAGTTTGCATGTGGAAGAAGTGGAGCTCATGTTTGTTTCATGTCAGTTAATAAACAGGGTACTGACTTTCAGCAGTATCACATACAACTAGTTCTATTCCCAACTCAAAAATGTGTCTCATTCAAGTCCCTAAAAATAAATCAAATTAAACCGCCTATAAATGCTTTGATTCTCTCAGTGGTCAAAATTCTTGCAGCTCATGATCACACCAAAGTCATGACTGATAAAAAAAAAAAAGAGACACAAGAAGAAACACTGAAAGACTGAATAAAGTTGGGAAGTGACTTTCTCCATTTGGAGAGGCGAGGACACGCCTCAGTATTTGCACGCTTAGGTTCCTTTCATGTGTGTCACCGCTTGGTAAACATTAAGAAAAACCAACGCCAGGCAAAGTAGGATTTCCATCAAAGCCTATTTTCGGTAACAGATCCTCAGCGCTTGGCTGCTTTGGGATCAGTATCACAATCAGAATGCATTTTAACGCCAAGCAGCTTTTCACATGGGAGGAATTTGACTTGTGCAAAAGTTTAAACACTGACGAGTAGGGACATTTAAAGTAGGATAAAAGATTTTAAAAATCAAGTGTTGCATTCAGATTAACAGTGTTATAAGACAAATATGGACCAAATAAGGCAAATAAAGGCTAATATAGAAGTAATAAAAAACAGTTGCAATGTTATTTAGGTGAGACAGCTCTACAGATTGTGCAGGAATGTGCAAATTATTCGCCTGGGAATGGTAATATTACATATTTCTGTGATTAAAGTGGGAATTAAAGGCTCCCTGAACTCCTCCGTTAACAAGGTCAGCGCAAAAGCATATCATTTTCAAGCTGCACGCACGTTTTTGCTTGTTTCACTTTTGATAAGGCACACAGACAATGGGGTTTGACAGCTACGTTAGCACGCAAGCTAACGTGCTAAATGTCACTGGGCATGAATTGCATTAGTTGCAGGCACTCGGCAGTGGCGTAAGAAAGATATATCAAGCTGTCAACTTAATAAAAAGACAGATATGTGTGTGTAAATTATACAAATAACAAAGAATGATGTGTTTAGTGATAAGATTAGCTTTCAAGCGCACTTTGACTTCTCACTACCCCCATACTACGCCTTGCTAAGGAAAACGACGCTAAATCCCACCCATTTGAGCGACGGACCGCGCTGTCAGCCAATCATATCAAAGTACAGTCAAGCTAACGTCTCTTTAAACCAATGGGGTGCAAGCAAGTGGGCGGGACAACTTCTAACGATGGCTGTCTATCCTCCGACTGCTCGCCGAGGCTTTTCTAGTTTGCTTTACTGAAATGTACGGCAAAGCGATGCGTTTTACGCCGCTGTACGAGCGCGACCAGATTCTCACCCCTCGTCAAAGTGGTGCTCTTCATTTTCACAGTCGCTGCAGTGTCCGTGGTCCTCTACATCTTCTTTCTCCGGCAGCGGTGCTGTCTCATTCTCATCCGCCATCTTCAACCAGGAAGTGAAGAGACACCGCGTGCCCCCGACGCCTTTAAACCTGCCTCCACGCGATTGGCTCCGCGCGCTGATGGAAGCGTCTCAACTGTCGTCGTTTTACAAACATTTATAACAAATAAATTCTCATAACGGAGGAGTCACGACCGAGTTTAGACGATTTAGAGACTCCTTTTTAAATTTCTCAGGACCTCTGTCAAAAGTTTAAGATTCTGTGTATTCAATCTCTCACAAATACGGACAGTAGAGCCACGTGACCTGCATTCAGAAAGGACTGAAGTGAAGCATGTGAGAGCTCTGAAACCTTTGAAGATGCAAAATAAGGGCAACAAATATTACATTTCTGGTAATTGTGGAGCTAAAGTCATGGAGCCCAATTAAAAGTCACAAATGATCACAAAAAGACACTAAAGAACCACATACAGACTCACAATGACCAGAAAGAGACATGAAATTACCACAAAAAGGCTCAAAACAAGGACAAAAAGACACTTAAAACAGCCGCTATAAGACTCAAAATCACCACAAAGGTTCAAAATGACAAATAATCTCAAAGAAACACTAAATAATCACAAACGGACACAAACCAACCACAAAGACATGACTGGAAACAGCCACTGAGACTCAAAATGATCACAAAGAGACTCACAATGACCAGAAAGAGACAAAATGACAAGATAGAGACTCAAAACAAATTCAAAGACACTCAAAATATCACAAACAGACTAAAGTGACACAGAGAACGGCTCATAATGAAGGAGTCATTACTTAGTTTTAAAATTTATAAGATTGTTTTAAATTGTCTCACAATCTAAATCAAAAGATGAACATTTTGTGGATTTAATTTTATTTTCTCTCACATATGTTTTTAAACAGTTGACCAAAGTGCAGTACAAGTTATTGGACAGAGAACAAGAAAAATATTTGTTAATATCAAGACAGACAATTGGATAGAAGCTTGCAAAATCAATAAATATGAAATACTCAATATATATATATATATATTTATTTCATGTTAGAAATTGGCCTTGCCAGTTTTTTCCCCTGTCTGTCTAGTTTTTTTTTAGTATTTCATACTTATTGATCTGGCTGTCGGTGTTGTTTTTCATATACATTTGTCTGTCTTGTATCACACTCTGGTGAAGATGCAAGAGAATTATGAGAATTAATAAGTTAATATTGCAAACGTACCTGATGAAAAGATGAAAGGTAAATAATGTGATCTTTAGTTTTCTGTGATAGTATGGATTACTAAATGAGCTTAATGGAACATAGGAACCCCTGAGGTACAGGGCAGAGCCTCTGTATGGCATTACCATTAATATTTCTGGTTAAAATACACAAAAGTCCCACAAAGAAACACAAAAATGGTAATACTGCAAAGAAATACACACAAAAACAACATGAAGAGACTCAAAACTGCCACACAGACACACAAAATGACCACAAAATCACAGAACAAACATTTCTTCTATTTGTGTGAAACAGAAACCATAAAACACACATCAGTCAACCACACTGTTGCATTTCAAACTTGGACACCGGATTAAAGCACCAAATATGTGTGAAAACAGTCTTAAAATAGTCCTCAGCAAAAGCAATTTTGTTTGAGTAATATTTGCTAAAAGCTCGAGTCCCAGCCTGTCTCAGGAAATCAGTTTTTAAGATGAAATGTATGAAGTAGTTTTAAAGATTACATCACATAACAGATACATAATCAAAAAGAAAAGCGGTAGAAGTGTTGAGAGACAAACATTGATTTAGTTTTGACATTTTCATTAAAATTCCTTATTGTGGCTATCTTGATAAAATAAAAAATGAAAACCAGCCTTATCACCAACATCCTTCTACATTATTTTGTCGGTTTGTTATTCTTACCTTCATATTAAGCTGTTTGCGTCATATCTACAGACTCTTTCCTCGTGATAATTCATGCAAAACAACAAAAAACAGGTCTCACACAGGGTTGTGTTATTAGTGCTTTATAAAAACAGCATTTTTCTCTTATCACATTCACACAAAACAGGCTTTAACACTGCAACGTCTCGCTTTACTGAAAATCCATCTTGATCGTATAAACTGTAATCACAGCGGTCTGTGCGCGTCACCTTCCATTACAGAAGCATTTTATTACCTGTATGAGCATCAAATGATTAAAGTGCAGCCTCCAGTAATTGGTGCTTGTATTAGACGGCTGCAATAAGCGCTAAACCGTCTGAACGTAAGGACCAGAGTTGGCAACAAAAAAATAATTGCACAGGGTTGTTAAAAGATGAGATTAAAGCAGCCTGCATGCAGAAATCTTCAAACACGATTTAACTTAACACCTTATGTCTTAACATGAGTGAGATGATGCTTAGGCAAATACAATAATCATAAGTATCATTAGTAAACGTCAGTCTGCCAATAATACTGTCTCTAGTTCAAGTTCATTTAAAAGATGAACTGTTGTGATATAAAAGTGCCAAAATCTCCAGAGTTTCAAGTAAGACTAGCTGAATAAACCTTTCGGTATTTGTTAACGGACAATACAACCTGTGGCAGTCACTGGAACATAATTAGATCTGTATTAAATCACAGTTAGTGCTTAAAAAAAGCCATATTTCTTTTTTTTTTTTTAATCACAGCTGCTTGGTCTCCTACTTAAAGCACTCATGAGATTAAGAAAGTGCCCTTGTTTAAGTTAAAAACCAAATACTTGAGTGTAAAAATGTTAAAAATCGTTCTCAAAATCCAAAAATTGAAATGATAAAATAATACGTCTTTGCTCTAAGAGAGTTAATAACATTAAAATGAATTGTTTTAAAGTGTCACACAGCACTGATGCTCCTTCATCTCCACTAAGCAACATCATTCTTCCTGCACTGAGGGTAAACTGGACCACTTAAGATCTGGACTTAGAGACCGGCTGGCAGCAGTGGTTCTTCTCTCCTCAAATTTAGAGCTTCTTTTCTTCTTCCAAAGCCCTTCACTGTCAGAAAAATTCAGCCTTCAATTTGGTTCGTCACGCCTTTCTTTTAGCGGCCGCCATTCGCTCAGATACAGTTTTAATAGGAACTCCTTTCCGGCTCACTTTGACATGGATGAAGAGCGTGGCGGGGGACAAACTGGACCCGTCTGCCTTCAGTAAGTGAACGTGCCGATAACCTGAGAAGAAAAAAAAAGCGCAAACATGTTACAAACAAGCCAAAGTGGGGCTTTATTGTGTCATATGCGATCTTCGTGAGCACCTGTGCGCAGGCTTGTGAACGGTAAAGTGAACTGCCCCACAAAGTCGTTCTTGGCCGCGTGATCGTGGTCCTCCACCACGAAGCGCACCAGGGCCAGTTCAGGGACCTGCAGCTGGAAGCTCAGGGTGCAGTTCCATTGCGGGTTGAAGCCTGTAGGGGGCGCACAAGAGCTGTAAATACATCATGTGTCTCTGAACCTTTCAAACCAACTAATCATGGCGTTGGACAGGGGAGGCTCCTACAACAACATGTCAAAGATCTGTGCTGCACAGATCTAAAGAAGCTTATTGATGTTGTTTGTTCCCTTAAGTTTTTGCATCATAATGAGATAAGAAATCATGGAATAAAAATAACTCTTTACAGCAACGATTACGTTAAACATTATATTATCAAGGGTGTGTAAAGAAGAAAGGCGTTATCTCTGTTTAATCCTCTGAACTCCAAACAGTTTGTGGGTGTTTTATTTGGCTCACATTTTTACTCACTCTCATATAAAGTCCTGCACCTTTATGGAAACAGAACAACCATGACTGGAAGGAGAGAAAACTCAAAAATGTCTTTTGTGCAGCATAATAAAATAATCACACCATGTATCTAAAAAATTTAAAAGTGAAAGTTGAACTTCTTTGATAATTCATTAAAAAAAACAAAACAACAACAACAACCTTGAATCAACATGTGCAACATTTATCCTGCAAACGTTATCAACACTGGAAAAAACACTGACTTTACATACTATAAACATTTTACAACCTTCAGTTTGTCTCCGTACTTGTCTCCTATCTGTTGTGTGTAAACACAGCCTGCAGTTCAGCTGAATTTTAGTGCGTTGGTCACTGTTGGTCATTAATAATTTCATGGTTGCACAAGAAGCCCAGATTTTTTTTTTTTTTTTTTTACAAAATCTTGTTACTGCAATTTTTGTTATTTCAGCAAAAAAATTAAAATGCAACACAAAGAATAAATTCATTTTGATGAAATATCCTGATTTTAAGCCTCTCCAACCGAGTCACAGATGAGTAGTTCAAAGACTGTGGGAGAGTTGTTTGTGGCTCTGTTAAATTGTGTAGCTTTGGTGATTTCATAACATACGTGTGGTTCAGAGGGTTAAAACTGTCATGCACGCAGAGACACAGTGTTGATGCTTGATTGTTACTTCACTGTGATTAATGAAATGAATCACATCTGAATTACCGTTGTTGTCGATACGCTGGGTTTTGTTTCTTGCGTTATCAATCGCCACCCCGTGGATTTCCACCCACACTTGTGGGTCCACAATGGAGCTCGCTTTCTCTGTGTTGATCTTTGGCAGCTGCTGTGCAGATATTATCTGAAAGGCAACAAGTAAACAAACAGTTGGGGCAGCAAAGTCTGATTAGAAACCTATAGAAATTCCGCTAGAGTCAGTTTTGTTTAAAAAGGTCAATACTGCAAAATGCAATCAGTACAGCAGACAGCACTCGATATATTTAATCCCTTCTTTGGGGAGAGGAAAAAACTATGCAAAAAGAACAAGACTTGCTCTTTAATGCAACAAATACTGTGTTTACAGAGTAAAGAGTAGTGAAATGACAGGATGGAGAAACAGAATGACAATACAGTATTAAATAAATAATGTTCACATGTATAAACAGGTGAGAAATTGAAGGAAAAACAAACATAAAGTATCTTAGTCAGGTGTTGTGCTGCCAGAGGAGCTTGGAATTGATTTTCTAAAGTCTCTGCCAGAGGAATAAGTGCCATTTTCCCAAAAGATATTTCCTCATCTGGTGTTTTGATGATGCTGGTGACAGTAAGGGCCACAACATATGATTCACATCCTTTTTGTACTATATATATCCTTGAAGAGACCACTCCCATCAGGATGTTTCATCACAGAATCAAGCTCATCACGTAGAGCAACTTCGTACTGATTTTCAGGGACCCTTTCCTCTAAGTGGACCCAAACAAAGCCAGTAAAATGCCCCAAACAGCACCATAGAGCCTCTGAATGCCCTCACTGTGGGGGTCAAGGGTTCAAGTTCTTCCTTTTATTTGCCACCTGACTGTATATGAGGAATATTTATCGTGTATGTTACTCACTCGTATGGTCAGCTGGGTGGGGATGTGACCGGGGCCTCCTCCCGTGTTCTCCGGGTTAAAGTTGGAAGCTGTGCTGCACAAGAAGCTGGGTTTGAGGACGTACCCGCAGCGACCGTTGGGGAGAAATCGACCCTGGTTGAGGTCCATCTGCTCCCCGGGTGTCTGGAAGTTTAGAGCCACTGAGCAGCACAAAGAGGAGAGTTGGAGACAGCGTTTCAGAGCTACACTCAGTGAATCAGTGAAAGCCAGTGGCATCAGTGACGTGGCAGCGATTTGCAGGAATGAGAGGCAGCGTGGCATTCATTTGGTGCTTACTGACCACATTTTTTAAAATAAATTGCCTTAATTTGCTGCCACTTGAACAGCATGCGAGCTCCTAGTCAGGAGTACCAACCCATCTGGCAGCCGCCGTTCCACATTTCCTGAGGATCATAGTTGGATGATTGGAGGCGCTGGCCAGAGGGGTAGATCCGGCTCAGCTGCCTGCTGTTGTGTCTTACAAAAAGCTTCCCTGCAAATGAAGCGACAGAAAACCGCATTCCACAAAGCATTGGAGGCTGATTAGATTCTCTGCAGAACCAGCTGCACAAAAGACATGAAATTTGAAATGTTTTTTTCACTCCCTCTCTCTGTAATGTCAATTATTTCCACTGTTGTACCCGAATCTTTGATGAGCCGCAGGGCATCGTTTTCACAGAAGGAAGACATTTCATTTGGTGGTATGTCAGACACATTTTCAAACCCGCGAAAGTGGACGCTCCTGCAGTACACCACCAGCTCCGACAGCTCGGGGCTCAGTTTGGAACAGACCTGGGAAAAGTGAATGTAAAAGAAAACTGATGTCATTAAATTAAAATGTTCACACTTTCAGGCTTCGTGACAAACCCGTCTGCGCTGACCTTTGCGGGATCTTTCTTGGGCGTGTTCTTATTGCTGCTCGCGAGCTCATCGTCAGAGCTGGAGGAGAAGCTGGCAGAGCTGCTGGTCTTGCCCAGCTGACCCAGGTGAGGAGTGTGCTTCTTCCCTTTCACCAGAATCCGTCCCTTGAGCTCCTGCGAGGAAGGTCATTGCAACAGATGACTTCATTAGCAAAGCAGAGAGCCGGAGGTGTTCATAAAAAGCATCCAGCTGTGTGTTTGTGTGCTGTACTTCGGGAGAAGGCATCTCCTTCAGCGACTGCTCGCTCAGAGGTTTGGTGAGCAGTTTTTTGCCCAGGATGGTGCGGAGGTGTTTGGCCATGACGGCCTGCTGCTCCACAGAACAGTGGTTCTCCAAGGACAGGATTAGAGGGTATGGGGACGCCTGCAGGGGGAGAAACACGGGACAACTCTTGTGCTAAGCCATTAAAATGCAATTAGATGACATAATTGAAATGCACAACCCGATAGTGTAACACTGTGGCGTGCCAAAGCCGAAATACTGCAGGGTTGCACAAGTGAGTTGTGAAAGCAAGAAGCCGGTGATGTGAAGACGTAACTGATGATTTAAACCAGTAAAAGCTACAAAATCAGGCACCTTGAAGGCGTACTGGGCGATGGTTTCGATGACCTCCTGGAAGGTGACTTTGGAGGTGAGCGTGTGGCCGTGGTAGATGACGGGTTCACCTTTATCTCCATCCCAGCAGTCCAGCTCCACACAGCGGCAGCCCTGATTCAGAGCCCTGACGGTCACACACACCTCGTTTAAAACCACGTTGAGGTAGATTTCTGCAAGGATTTACTAACTGTGAAGACGTTTGAGCGGTGTGCGTCTGTTTACCGGATGTAGGGCTCTGTGCTGCTGGCGCTGGTCACTTGGTCCTTGGTAAGGTAGGTGTTGTGCGACGAGCAGATGAAGTAGTGGGCCAGAGGGCGGCTCATGTCCTGGTAGACTCTGGCGTGGTCGGGGTTGAAGACGTCATTCTCCTGGGACAGCATGTACATGGTGAAACCGTTCTGTGTCATGAACTGGTTCTGCTGAGCTGCAATAAATGACAATCACATTTTTTTCCTCTATTGTGAGTTTATCTGTCATTGTTGTGGTGTTTTTGTGCTATAATTCACTCAGCGGTCGGACAGTTGTGAAATAACTGCATATAGTGTTTTCTTTTTTTTGTTTTTTTTACTATTTATAATTACAGTACTTGTGAAATACACAGACAGGCGACAAATCAGTGCTGTGGGGAGCATTTTGTGGACATGTTTTGTGTCCTCTTAGAGGGAAGTGTCACTTACACAGCTATATGTTAACAAACTGCAAACACTATTTTTGGGAAATGTTTTAAATGAGACATGCAGATCTCAGTAAATTTGATGATTTTTTTTTAGCTTGGATTTGGTGAAGCTTTCCACCAGAACACCATGTAACTCTTGTTCAGTTCAAGGAGCATCAAAAAGTTGAACATCTGATGATTTCTTTCTGTTTTTGCAAATTCTGGCTCTGATAAATGGTGTCATTTTGGTGATTAAAAAAAAAAAAGAAGAAAAAAAAGCAGAAAACTTAAGAAACTGCAAATAATTTCTTGTCTTATTTTAAAACTAATTCACATATTTTTTATTTATTTATTCTTCTTCTTCTTCTTCTTCTTCTTCTTCTTATTATTATTATTATTATTATTATTAGTATTATTATTGTTATTATTATTTTCTGACAGTAGAGATCATGATTAGGCCCCTTTCGACCTTTCCCCTGCTGGTGAACAATATAGCACTTTTTCATCCTATTCATGCTTTTATTCCTGGCAGACTTGACTATTATAATACTCTGTTCTCAGGTCTTGCAAAGAAATATCAAAACAAACTTGAGATGATCCAACATGCAGCAGCACGTCCTCACTCCAAAACAAAGCGTAGACAACACTTTACTTCAGTGTAAAAGGCTCGTCATTGCCTCCCTGTTCATTGAGAAACTGATTTTAGGATTTCAGTCTTTAAATCTCTTCATGGAGTAGCTATTGTATAGATCTCTAAGATCATCTACTGCTGGTCTTTAAAATGTTGTCTTGAGTAGAATTAAAACGTCTTTGGTCCTCGACTCAGGAACAGACTTTAGAGCATCTCATTCAGTAAATGGATGCAAATAAAACCTTTTTTAATGCTTGTATTTATGTAGTTTCATGTAATTTCCTGGTACTGATACCTTACTTTTATTAAGGATGTTTGTATTTTATTCAGATTTTTATTGATGTAAAGCACTTTGAGTTGCATGAACTGTGCTTTACCAATGAAGTCATTCTTATTCTTAACATTATTCATTTGATTTGACCTTGTGCAATCAACAACCAACCAGTCTCACCGCTAGAATAAAAAATGTACCACTTTTTGTGCAGCTGCAGGATTTAGCCTCAGTGCAGCAAACACTGTTATGGCTAAATTACTAGTTTGCCACATGAAAATATTGCTCTTTCTCTCCTGTAAATCCTTTAATGAGGGCTCTGAGGACCTACCCCAGTCATTGAGCTCGTAGGTGCGAATGAGGCTCTGAGCATGATTCAGCGAGGCGTCTTCTCCTTGGTCTCCCAGGAAGTCTCGCAGCTCAGCAGTGGAGAGAACACAGCCATTACTCGAGTAGTGTCTGAACACAGAGTCCAGCTCGGGCCGCCGCAGCAGCTCCCTGCAGAACTCTTCGATCTCTATGTGGTCCAGGCGGTCGTCACCTGATCGGTCACACCGCTGGGGATGAAGGAGAAAGGTATGAGTTTAAAAAAAACAAGCAATCAAACCCACGTAGAGGAGGATAAACAAATAAGAAACCTTTTTTGTTTTGGGAGTGCACCAAACTCCCTGCGGGGAGAGCATCTCCATAATAATTCACCACAGCTGTGCACACTTACATTAAAAATACGGCTCTCCGAGGAGGGTCAGTATTGGAAATTGTGGGGAGAAGGAGCATAAAACCAACAATTGGGCTGTAATAGAGAGCTGAGGGACATAGCCGGCAGTAATCCCCTTCAATAAAGAAATAAATGGCTTTTGATTTGTTGTGGGGAAGATAAGAGGGAGGGGATACGGGTGTTGGAGGGGGGCTGCTGGTTGGCTTGCTGCTGGGTTGGTAATTGAACACAGACTCTGGACTCCAGGGTGTCAGAGGGAAACGATACCACCCTAACTAGATATCGCCAAGTCCACAACTCTGTGCTTGTAACACTCAGAAATGTCAGAATTCAGCTCACATCGACTAGTTCTACTGACCGAACACTGAGGATGCGGGTGCTAAAGGTCTGACCTTGAATAAATTGCGGGCGTACTGCTCGCTCAGGTCGATGTTGATCATCTGCAGCAGCCGTTTGACTTCATCGTAGCTCATTTTGCCGTCCTGGTTCTGATCTGCTCGCCTCAGGTAGCCTCGGATCCAGGTTGAGTAGAGAGTTAAGATATAAAAACAGACTAAAACACAACAAGACAAACACTTAAGGAAGTTTTTAGACCCATGTGCGTAACTATATTATTATGTTTTGTCATATATCAAATTGCAGTTTTTTATTTGGTATAAAACCACTGGTTACCCTGAGGGGTGTACTATGAAGATAAGCGGGTTTGTGAGGTATGCTGAGCCTAAAACCTGAGTTTTCAGTGTCATGAAAGTGTCTTTTAACCTGCTAGATCACCATGGTAACTGATGCTGCACAGTTAACTTGCTCTGGAGGAGGTTCTGTTCAGAGATTGGGGTTTAAATTGGCTGTAATAAGCGTCGTTGTTTAATAAGCTCTTTTTCGACAGTCTTCTAAACCTGCTAAGCTATTTCATATTCTTCATGGCTCTCCATTACAACAATCTGTTCCACATGACTAAAAAAGGTGGCACACAATTTTGTGCGGAAGAAGAGTCAAATGATGTGTCAAACATTCTCTTTTACATGGACATGTGCAGATTCCTGTGAAGAAAACCTGCTTAGCAAAGAAAGATGATCATACCTATTATCTCTGATTGGGGTTTTAGGTTTTGTTTAGCCAGTTAACACAACGAAAGCCTGGATATAATGATTTTGCTTCATGGAGCACTCGTCAGGAAAGCTTTGTGTTATCCTGTTCATGGTTTCTTTCCAATTTCTTCCTTTTTGGGGGCACTTCTATGCATTAATTTATTAGTGGCAGTAAGGGGAGAAATGAAATGTGGGGAAAGATAGTAAATGACAAGTCCCAGCTACAAACCAGGAACTTGCTGCTCAGGACATCTGCACCTGTGTGGAAGCATTCGCCTGTTATGTAAGTGGACAAAATCCACATTCAGTGCAAAAATGCATTTTAATTGGCCAAAAAATTAGGTTATCTTTCAAAATGGTTTTGTTTTTAAGTATAAAATTCCCTTTTGGGTTTTGCAAGATGGACTGTGTTACTCTGTCCTGATAAAGACCTTTGATACTGTACCTGTCAATGAACCTGAACTGACCCACATTTATACACAAGGTAAAGTGTTTTTCCACTGTATGGGAAAGCTTTCCACAATTCAGGGTAAAATTTTCACTCATTCCCATGAACTGATCCTGCACATAGTTAAAAACATAACACAAATTGGTGCTTTTCTTGATTTTAACTGTGATTAACATGGAAAAGAAAATGAGGGAGATATAAACAGAACGGCAGGGGTGGTCTTCTGCTCTACCTGATACCTACACTCATACCATCCCGTGGCTATGAGGGATTGTAATTAACAGTGATAGTGGGACTATATTTAGATGGGGCTTTTTTATCCTGTCATTACTGCACACCTTAGCTATGCTGTGGACGTGGGATGGCACATGTGACAGCAGTCACCATAGCAATGCTGCCTCAGCTGCACTATATTTATTCTGGCATATTGGAAATTTGGGCAGGATATTGGTCCAGTTTTTCCTTCTGAGTCATGTTGGCCACACGCTCCTTTAACAAGCGGAGGCCTCGTACCCAGCGCAGGGCCTCGTCCTCGCAGTGGCACAGCAGGTCCAGGCTCTTCCTGGCTCCCCTGAACACCACGGTGAAGCACCGGGTCTCTGGCACCGAGCCGGACAGCCGCCGCAGAGCCTCCGACTGGCATCCCTCGCGAATGCACTCCACCTCCGTCACTGCGACTGTGGGAGGAAACAAAGGGCACCAGGACAGGGAGGACGGGTGAGGAAGGGCTGGTGTTGATGAGTAAACAGCTTCGGCAGGAGATCATAGCAACAGTCGCAGCAGCTAAAGGTCAAGTGTGAGGTGTTTTTTAGGGAATCGTAAATCCCACCGAGCAGAGTGACACGGAAATGAGATTGTAAAATATAATGTGGCCTATAAATGCTTCTCTACACGGGAAGATTTAACTCGTGCACACACAAAATGACACAACTTAAGGCGTGGACCTATAGTTTAGTAAACTCTGTGCTGCTGGTCAAAGTTCTGGGCCTTCTTGTACATTTTATGATTTATTTATAAGTTATTATCTCAGTCTGGTGGCTGCCAGCACGGCTTAACTTGGAGGGTTGGTTGAGAGTATGAGATATATAAATAAAGCAAGTCTACAGAGATTGCAGTCATGCTAGCAGGCTTTTTTTTTAAGCTAAATGTTAGCATCAGGATGCGAATATGCAGATGTTTTGCAGGTAAAATCTGTCTACAGAAACATGGTGCCCTCCAAAAGTCTAAATTTGATGCTTTTGCTACTCAAAGTTTTAGATTTTTCCAAAATTTCACACAATGTACAAGCATGTAGACTTTGAAACTTTACTGGAATGAAACCTTTAAGGCAAATATTTTTCACAATTCAGGTTTAAATTTTCACTCACTTCCATATAAAGAATCTTCATGTTTTGAAAAATGCACTTCAAATTGGCCCTTTTCTAAATTTTAACCACGATTCACACAGATTTAATAAAAAGTTCAAAATGGTGCAGAACACCAGATTGTGTTTCGAACGAGGAAAATGGCGACCAAGAGCCTTGAAATACTTCAGAGCACCTTCAGAGATGAAGCAGTGAATCGGGTAAGATGTTCTGAGTGGCATGCACAACAGCATTGGAGGACGATGAAACAGCAGGGCAAAACCACGGAAAATATGCGAGGAACCGAACAAAACGTGCATCAGGATTTAGGCTGCTCAATCAATCACTCCTGCACTGTCACTGTGACGCATTCATACACAATAGTCACCCTGCAGGACCTGCAAATTAACTCTATCACATCATGCTGTAACTTTTTTACTGCTTTATACAATAATATAATATATAATTTACTCTGATTTAAGGGTTCGCAGCAAGATAAGTGAAGAACAGAAGAGAAAAGGTAGATTTGGTTGCAACGTGAGTTCTGTGAAAATATTTTGGCAACAGTAAGGATGACCAAAAACAGGTCTTGCAATTATTGTCACCACACGAGGAAAGAAAATCTTTGACCATTTAAATCAGCACCACAAAGCTCTGTGTTATTACTGAAAAGCCAAATCTGGATGGCATCCAAAGTAGAAAACTACTTTTGATGCGTTTGCCAGTGTTGAGAAATGTTCCAAGTGGCTGTTTTCAGCTTTTTACGATGTATTTACTTAGTTTATTGTTGTCTATGCAGATGCACTCAACCTATTTGGAAAGATAAATTCTTTCTCAATTGTTATTCAGGTCATTTCTTCAAAATTTTGATATCTTTTTTTAAATTTTATGTAATACATACTGCAGAAAAACTAAATATTGCAATGAGGGAAACTGCTGACATGGTCAACGTATTGTTTAGAACAGTTCAGGAAGTTTTTACTTCGTGCCCGAGCTACTGACCCGAGAAGAAGCTGCACCGTGTAGAGGTCTGTAACGAAAAGTCAACAGAACTGGAATGACCCAAACTTCATGTTTTGGATCATTACCAGTGACAGTGATGAGAGTCCACAGCTAGTCAGAACAACAAACAGCACTGAAACATTCTCCAAGGCCGAAAGAGACACAGTAGGTCAGGGGCACAACCACGAGCATGCTTGTCATTTTCTTTGTCATTCACAGGATTGTTTGCTGTAAATTTGTCCGCGAGATGTCAACGCAGAGCTCGAATGTAGCGTACTGAGGAATCTGAAGTAGAACATTTGACTCAGAAGACCTGAACTGTGGCACAGTGGCAACCGGGTGCTCCATCATGATCTGTCTGCTCAGAGTGCATACAGTTTTGTGACCAAAGCAACACAATCCCTTCAACTGTCCTGATCTGCAGATTTGGCTTCCTGTGACTTCCTCCTCTTTCTTAACACAAAGCTCAAGTTGAAGGGTTGCTCAGGTAGCTCACATAATCGGACTTGTGGGGATATTCAGTGTTTTGTTGCACAAGGAGATTACTTTGAAGGAGATGGTCGAAATGTTTGATGTTTATCGACCTACATCCATGCAAATACCTTAGAAATAACTATAGTTTCAGATTGTTTTGTAGCAAAAACATCACTTTCACTTACTCGTTGATATACTCTCTGAGGGCACTGCACATCCTTTATTAAGCGTCTATGATTTTAGTCTAGGTATCATTATGTCAGAGGGCCCACAGGTCAAAATTGTTTAGATCTGCAGCTATAAATAATCTCTAAATCTCATATTTGCAGAGCAAACACAAACACACAGCGACTCCCAGCTGATTCCAGCACAACGGCTTTATTCAAGCACAGCAGCTCCTCTATATTTCTGCACTCGGATGCCTGCAGCGTGGCGACTGCTCTGTCGGGCAATAAGTGTCTGCTCTGACAATAGCCTCATTCTGTAGCTGGAGGTCATAAAAGCCTCTGCTATCCACCTCTTCAAAATTACTCCACATTCCAGCCTGGTGGTTATCTCAGAGACACCACAAAAGTGGCATGCATATAGCGTGAAGTGCACGGATCAAACTGGACCTGGAGAAGCGCCTGGAGCTCGGAAAAGAGGAACCAAGCCAAGCTTTCAGACACTCAGATTTGGCCCGCAGCAGCCAGCCGATGTGACATTATTGGTATCTGTCCACCAGAGTGGTCACCGTGTCCTCACGCTGCTCGTTGTCATCGTTGTGTCACTACACTTCAACTCTTTGTGGCTATTTCTGGCAGCACAATCAAGACGGCCTTCACCACCCGCTGACCCGCAAAACCTGCACAACCACTCGATCGCTTTGCGCGGCCGGCAGGGGGTCAGCACTGGACTGCATTCCAACATCAGGTGGGAGAGCCAGAGGTCAAGCAGGCGAGGAGGAAAATAAAAGGGATCGATCTCATGCACATCAGGTGACGCCTTTCGCCGAGACCCGCCTGCCAGTAAATCGTCATTCCAAGAAGAAAATTAGGTTAAAAAAAAAAGCGTACTGCAAGAAACTAAGGGAAACAATCAGGTGCAAAGCCTCTGTCTTCCAGGCATTTTGCGTTCTTGTAATTCAGGCCACTGGTGTAACTGAAGAGTCAGCGAGTAGAGCTCTATCAAGATATTTGTCCTACATACTGCACTGACAGCCTCAAATTGATTCCCTGAATAGCTCGATCAAAGACATTAGTAGCTTCCCCCTGCGCGCTTTGACGCAGCTTCCCATCACAGAAACAAAATTAAAGCACTTAAACATAATGGATGAAATTAAGTATAATGTCTATTAAGTTCTTCCTCCGCTGCTTCTGACTGTGTCTTTATGGTTTAATTATTCGTCTCGCAAATGATGCCTTAAATACTGGAGGAGGGGCGATACTAAATCACTAAAATGCAAGGTTGAACATAAAAATGGACAGGAAGTATGATTTGCTGTTACAGAACAACACTGAAACAGCATGAAATTTTAATGTGAGAAACTAATCTTGTTTTTAACCTTGAAAACAACCTCCTGGGGTGAGCGTGTTGATGACAAAGATAGCAGGCTGAGACTTGACAGTACAGTAGCTGTTGTTGTTTCAGTTTCGTGTTTCCTGCTGAGACAGAAACCATTAAACTGCTACTTTTTTTTTAAAACTTGTGCATTGTTTATGCTTTTCATCGCTGTTGGAAACAGGAAGTAAAGCAAGATTCATGAACTACCACGAGCTGCGATGATTAATCAACTATACTGATGATTGATTAATCAAGTAATTTTTAAGGAAAAAGAAGTCAACAGTTTCTGATTCCAGCCTCTTAAAATATAATATTTAATATTTTCTGGGTTCTTTCCTCCTCTATGACAGTAAACTGAATTTCTTTGTGTTGTGGACAAAACAAGACATTTGAGGATGTCATCTTGGGCTTTGGGAATCACTCATTTTATGACATTTTATTGCCCAAACAGCTAACTGATTGATAGAGAAACTGATGAACCCCAAAACTCTCTGGTGGAGTTAACAGGCCTGCTATCTTTTTTAAAAAAGTGCCAAAAATTATACAATTCACCAGAGCCAGAAACTGTAAAAACAGGGAGCATAAATAGACTTTAAAGCTCTACAACAGCTGTCCAACTGCTCTGTGATGTGCTGAAGAAAAAAACCCTTCACCTAATCTAAGCTTAAAATGATAACATTTCATCAAAATCATGTCTAGTTTTTTCTTTATATCATCAAAAATGAACAGTTTATTCTAGATTCTGTAAGAAACAAATCTTCTTCACTCCTCGACTCAACTACGACCAACAGTCATGTGGCAAAAATTCTGGGAATTTTTCGCTGAACTGCAGGATGTGTTTACACAGAGCAGACAAGAGACAAGGATGTAGTGAAATATCTATGGTTTGTATGGTCAGCATTTTAACCCCAATATTGGCAACACTTGTGAGTACTTAGAAAAAAAAACACGGTTAAAAAAAACAGTATATTAACAGCAACAATAGAAATGTAACTTTACTTTTTTCTTTTTCATGATTTATAACATTATAACTTTGCCATGTTGACCAGAAGACATTTTTGAGTTCTCTCTACTTCTATCCAAGGTTGTACTGTTTCCATAGAGATGAAAGAGTTAATAGTGTGGTGAAAACTGAGCCCACAGTGAGGAGAAATATGGCAGGAGCAAAAAATGCCCAGAACCTTGTTGGAGTTCAGAGGGTTAAGTGACACTGTAGTCTTAAAAGGTAGAGGTAGGTTCCTTCTGATACAGGATTTCCTAAATCATCCTTCCTTCCAACACATTAAACACCAACTAGACCAATATTTAAAGATTGAATTCAGCCGAATTACAGAAAAAAAGTCTATTTTTTACCTATTCATGCAGTTGCAGTTGTCTCACCTTTGTTTTAATTACTTTAAAATCCTAAACTGGGGTCATTAGTCAGCTCATGTCAGCTTCAGCCTTGTAAAGTAACAGAAAAGACATTGGAGGATTTTTTGGCGCCTTCCCAAACTGATTTTCACCAAGCTAAACTGATAAGAGTTGAGAATTATTAACCAGTAACCGGTACTTGAGTTATTTACTCGAGCGTAACAGACATTTTCGTTCCTCAGATGGTCAAAAATTGCAGGAAAATGCACAGATTTCTGTCAAATAAGGTAACACCGACTCATTGCCTTTACACCAATCACGCTTATTGTTGAGCCAGTCCTTCTGAGCCAGGAAAAAGCCTGTCTCGGTACGGCAAAGAATAGGCATTCATTAGTTAGCCATGCTGCAGAGCTCATGATTAGCTTCCTCACTAAGCAAAGCAACAAGCAGCTCCTTTAATAAGGCAAAGTAGAGGAGAGGGCACGAGATAGAGCCAAGATAACACAGCCCAACAACTCTGGACAATGTGCGAGCTGAATGAGCGCACCGACTCACATCTCGGTTCGTGCTCGGCTGCTAGAAGGTCTGCTACATCATTTCCCCGGAGGCAAGTTTCCTTCCACTTTGCTCCTTATCTGATATTGCTTAAGTTTCCTTTCTTTTCATTGTGCTAATTTCTAATCACGCTCACTTTCATGGCTCCTTTTCCTCCCCAGCCCTCCTTAGTTCCCACAACAAACTCCCTTTTCCTCGTGGTCTGTTGTCTCTTTATCTTGGATCCTCCCACCCTATGATCAGTCTACATTAACAACAAACAAACTTACACGTCTGTTGTGCTTTGGCTTTGCGGGAGCTCTTGGTGGATTCGCACCACACCGTGAGTCCGTCCTCCAGCAGCCGAAGGTGTCGGCTCTTCTGCCACCTCGAGGAGCGAACCTTCACCATGTCGGAGCCCTCCATCATCACACGGACGTCCTCGTTGTCCAGAAGACCTGGAGGACGCAACACACAGAACACAACGACAGCAAAGGTTTAATGCAACAGTGACTCAGTTTGTGTCATGGCTTCATCAGCAAGTCGACTTGTTTCATAGTGACGACATAATGAGGTTCACAAGTTCACACCGTCTGATCACCCGCCCATCGACACTGATCAGAATGAAGGAGTGAAGTTCTGGGAAGTGTCACACAAACTGTAAAGTTTCAAGAAAGAAAACAGCAAACCTTTTTTTCTGTTTTGTTTTTGTAAAGGTTGTCTCAGCACCCTTGAAACAGGAATTTGGTAGTTGCGCAATGTTGTCAAAGCCTGCCAGCAAGTTTGAAAGGCGTATTGTCTTATTATCAACTTTCAAACAGTTTACAATGCATTCGTCTGAAACTTTATAACACATTTGTCTGATAATGAACCAAAACAAAGTGAAAAATCAGAATTTCTCATCTCTTTATTCTACATGGCTCATTTTTTAAAAACTCAGCAGCAAAAAACACCCAGAAACCACTTGGTTGCAGAGAGTTAAGCTAAATGCTCCTGTCAACATGCTAAGAGGCAGAAGCAGTTAAGCGAAGAAAGCTGAGGGTTTCATTAACTGTGGCTGATGAGAACACCATCAGTTTTGAACTTGAACAAGTCATTAAACAAAAAGGCTTTTGTATGTTTTCAAATGGGGGCGTTTTCTATGCATTTTGGTCTTTGGTCCACACAGTTTCACCTTCCAGGGTATTCAGAAGCTCTGTTTGCAGTGTGTCTCATCTGTCCTCTTAACTTTCTCTTGGCGCTCAAGTGGTCATGTCGCCTTTGCCAGCGCTGCTCCACATTTGCTTCTTTTTTGTCAGTTTGCTCAAGAGAAATTCTGCTACCTCTTGTGCCTCAGGTTCCTGCCCGCCAGACCTCTAAACTCTTCCACAAACTGGGAATCCGTCCACAGCTCCAGACCTCCAAACTCAGCTCATTTCAACCTTTGCAAGCCACACATTCATTCCACGCCACGCCTGGTTTCTCTGCCAGTCAGCCTCTGCCGCCCAACTTAGCCACCTGCCAGGAGATCCACCCGGATCAAACTCAGCATGTCCAGACACCAAACTCCTCTCCAAGAAGAGCCCTGCTAAGCCTCTCTCACTCTCTGCAGAAACTGTAATGTTAAACTATCCTTCTAGCTGTTGCCAGCTATGTCTCGTCTTCTGCGTTTGGGTCCAGGTTAAAATTGCTTTTCACATAGACCGAGTTTTTGGTTTGTGATGTCAAAGTGTGCGCCGATAGCGACAGCGCTAATCTTACTAACAACACTTTTTACATGTTGACAGATAAATGTACAGTTAGTCCTCCAACGTATTGAGGAATCAAAACATATGATTTCCTTCTTCCTGGATGCACCATTGTTGGTAACCATCCAGAACTGCTTACGGCTGTTTCTTTTTTCGGCTTCCATTGGCCAACATGGCTTCAGAGTTATGTCATCGCCTGTTGGATTGACAGAGCTTTGATTGTGTTTTTGCTTCTTCTTCTTCTTCTTTTTCTTTATATGCTGAAGGAAAAACCCTGTTTAAATAAATACCTGTGTAAGATAGACTAGGCCAAAGTAGGTTTGCAGCTAACAATTATTTCCACTGTTGAACAATATGCTTCTTGTTTTCTGTTTCCTTGATTAAACCAGAAGTTGCTTGGACTATAAGACGCCACAAAATGCTGATCAGTGTTTCACAAAGCCCAAGATGACTTCCTCAAATGTTTTGTTTTGTGTGCAACCCAAAGATATTTCGTTTACATTCACAGGGGAGGAAAGGACTAGAAAATATTCACAGCTAAGAAGCTTAAATCAGAGATTTTCTTTGATAAAAAAACAACTGAAATAATCAATTATCAAAACAGCTGGCAATTAATTTAATAGCTGATCTATTGATTAATGAATGGGAAAAAGTAAAAATGTGGTCTGAACTGGATCAAAAAAAAGAAAGAACCATCAAAGTTTCTGTGATTCATCCTCAGGGGAACATGAAAATCTGGAGTCATTGGATTCCATCTGTACCAGAACAAATCTGCAAATACCAAAGTGCTGGTGGTACAAGAAGAAAACCCAGTGACTCGTGCCATTGGGATGTATCATCTGGAAACCATGAACACTTTGTGCCAGTCAGTCTAACAGATGTCGAGGTGGTTTACAGGAAAAATGTAACACTCTGGTGGAGCCAGATAAAAAACTGCATTATGACTGAGGTCTATGGGCTTCATCCTCCATGAAAACCTGAGCACAATTTCATGGCAAACTGTCCACGAAAGCAGCTGCCACCTTTGGATCCAGGCTGCCAGCATTCCCCAAAATATCACTCAAAAATACTTTCAAAAAATGAAAATGTCAGAATTACTGTCAAGTACAATATGTTTTATATGACCTAGTGTTGAGTATCATTGAGGAGTCATAATTTCTCTCTCTTTTTTTTTTAAAGTGTAGTTTTGTAGTGAATTTAGTGGTTTATTTAAGTGGCACTTCACTGAAATTCATAATTATTTTTTTATATTTGGAGATTTTTAAAAGCCTGGCAGTGGGCGCTGCTTTTAAAAATGACTAACTCCCATTCAGCTGAATTATTTCCCTGAAAAACGACCTCGTGTTCATCAATCTGAAGTCGCCAGTGCAGCCAACACGTCTCTGCTTATACCATCAACCTAAAAAAGGTTATGTTTTGTGTACTAACTTTGGAACAAACGCTTTAGACGAGAGTGCAGAGTGAAGTTGTCAGTGATGTTTCCCTGTGAGTTTTCCTGCAGTCTAGACTTCAGAAAAATGAACAACATGCCCTAAGTTCAGAAGAAAGTGGAGGGAAATTGATCGCTGGGATGTAATGCTGTCATGATAATTTGCAGATTTATTTCTCTCCCGGGGCGACGGCAGGCCAACAGGCAGCAGACGGGGGGGAGGCTGTTTTAACAGTTACAGCGAGGGAAAAGTTGCAAAGTGTTTTTCTGTCTGTATCGTTCATCCTGGAGCTGGCTGCGTTTTACCATCAATGGAAATTTAATCAGGAATGACTCACAACTACTGAGGCTAAAAAAAGCCTCCGATTGAGGTGGACGCGTCGCTATTTGTTGTGAGTGCCGAAAAGGTCGGCCCATGTTGCGGGAGAAGAAACAATAATTTTGAATTTATAAGGCCGTTTTAAATCAACTGGGTTTGATTAAATCTCGGTTATGCAACTTCTGAAGTAGAGCCGCAACAACCGGTCAATTATTCTGCTGAGAATGAATCAGAAAACACTCTCTGTGAGGAGTTTCAGTTTTATATCTGCAGCTTGGAAGGTTCTAGGAAATCCTGAAGGGCAGTTTTTTACATGTTTTATTTATTAGATGATTAATAATTGTAAGATAAAGAGCAGAAACTCAAGGCGTTCGCTAATCAGTTTTGAGATTTTTTCATTCAAACTCGCGCAAAGAAAACACCCATAATACACATTTAAAGCATTAATCTTACTATATTTTTCTACCTGCATCTGTAGATTTCAACTTCAGTTCAGGTCTTTCAAGGCTGTTTTTCTTAAAGTGAGTTTTTTCTCACACGCTGAGCCAGAAACCTTCACTTCAGCAGCACTCGCAGACAACAAACTGCCCAGTTTTATTCCTATCTATATTCTGAAGACGGGTTGATTTATGTATTATTCATAGCTTGACCTATAGAACATTATATTCCTAAAAACACTGCAAAAATGCATTTTTTTTTTTCAAGATGCTGACAGGATTTATGATGAAAAGAGTTCGCCGAAATCCCCTTTGATTCTAATATGTAAACAAAATGAAAGAATCTTTATCTAGTTCTCAGATTTCTGTTCTAGAAATTAAAGCAGATTAGAGCATATTGAACTAAATAACACCTTATTTGCATATTAATACGTAACATTTCAGAAAACGTAGCTATCATCAGTAGCAGCTCTGGTCTAAAGCTTTCTGATTTCGTGCTGCAAGGCTGATGTAGAGAGGAGTGTTTGCACAGCAGTTCCTCTGACTCTTTCTATTCCAAAGGTTCAAATGCGACCGAGGGCTCAGAGTGCAATCCAATAATGTGGAGCGGACACTTTTGCATGACACCAGTGTAAAATTATGTGCGATTTAGTAATTTTTTTTTTTATATTTCAACAATTATTATCTTCTAATTCTTTGCCTTTCGGGGTCAAATTCAGTTTTCTTTTTTTTTGGGGGGGAAGGTGTGAAAATGCTGCTCTAAACTGCTTTAACTTTACATTTTGCACACTGCGAGCGTTAAAAGTTCAGCTAAGAACCTGATAAGTGCAAATGGTTTACAGTACGGGTGTTAAAGGACATTCGGCTACGCCTCGTTGCTTCTTTTGGAGAGATGAATGGGAGCTTTTCTCTTTCAGCTCCGTTCAAAGAAGAAGCCTCAACGAGCTCTCACCCACCCAACTATTCTTCAGGGTTTAGTCTCCTCTGCTCACCTCTAAAGATTTGTCCAGACACAGTTGGCATGCCTTCTTTCTTTTCCCCCCTTAAATCTCAGTGCTCATGTGCCAAACGGCTGACAGAGCTCCTCCGAGGGCCCCTAAACCGACTGCAAACAGCTCTCCGCTCCCTCCCCCTCGGACTGAAAACAAACCCGAGTGCAACCGTGGTTTTCTGCCCATCGTGGTGGAGCACAAAGAAATCCCCCTACCAGACCCTCCATCCCATAACAAGCCTGTTTTCCCAAGCTGTTACCACATGCAAAGGCATTCCCACAAGCAGAGCAGAGGGCCCCGATTAAGTGCAGGTCATTGACCACGCTGAGCTGCCCAAACAGCTTTAACTGGCTCTGCTTCAACCCACTTTTCTTTTTTTTTTTTTATCACTGCATCTCTGGCTCCGACCACATGCTTAACTCTCCAGTCTGCATCATGTTAATATCTAACCACAGCAAGAACAAGCGAGCACAAGTCCGAAAGCGTGGGCCTATCTACGGTTCTCAACACGCAGTCCAATAAAACAACAGCTCATTCATGTCCCGTACGCCTCT